GCAGGTAATGTGAATGGTACAACAGGAGGGTGCACTTTATTTGATTTTAGCTTTGATATGTACACATGTCCCCAATATGAATCACAAAATTCAAGGTGAGTTTCAAATTTAAGGTCAAAATTGCAGAAATAGAAACATTCTCTAAGTCATCTATGCCTTCACTTCAGCTAATCTGGCCTTAAATTTGAATTCTCACTCTAGTAAATATCCCTGCATTTTGTATTTGATTGCCATTGAGAGCTATGACCTATTATCTTGTCCAAGGCTTTTAAGCTCCTTTCCCTTTAGTAAGGCATAATGTGCAGTCACGTTGGCAACTTGCCATATTTCCTCATTACCCTTTCTGAATTCACATGAATTCAATTCACCTTTTATTTTTGTTGAATAATTAGCTTTTTAATCTTTTTTCCCCTCTCCGCTGTGTTATATACTGTTCATTTACAATGTGCCTTTTACACTTCCAAGCAGCTCTTCCGGTCGAAGACCAATCATAGGTGAGTTCTAAATCCAGCAGAAAATACATGGGAGTAACAAGTAGGAAGAAAAAAAGATAATGGATCTCTTTCAAAGTTAATAATGAGGGGAAATAAGCCATTGAGGCGTTATGTAATGGTGTAGTCAATGCACACTTCAAACAAAATGTCTAAAAAAAATTATTCAAGCACTGGTGAAAGGTATAATCAGAACAAAAAGTTTAAACAATCACGCTCTTGATAATGTTGCAGAAAATAAACAGAAAAAGTGATATTTGGTGCCATCCACTCAGCTCGGTCCCCCACTGTCCTTCTCTGCCTAAATTGGAGCATGTACTTCAAGCTTTAAAGGTCAAGACTGCCCAAAATGTGTATTTTCAGTTGCTTAAATAATGGGGCATCTAGGCACCAAAACTACTACATGGTAGTGTTCAGGGGGCTATAAGATTTCAGAGCTATCACCAAGTTCTAGTGCAAATTGTTTTGAGCAATGTGACCCAAATATTCTGACCCTGGGGCACGTGATGTGTATTGTGCTTACAGTGTTTAGACTGTCACTTTAAAGAGGCTTCTGGACATTTATGGGTCTATTCTAAATAGCACTGGGGCCTTTGAGAAACTGTCATTATATTAATAGTTCCATTGGGTATGATATTGCAAGGCAACAAGTAAGTTCCCACAACCATAACGATCCCTGTATTGGGGAGAGAGGTCCAGAGGGCATATAGATCCATCGCTAACAAAGGAGCTTGTGGTCCAGCGGGCTTTATGTGAGGGGAGACACGGTATTTTGTTACACTGCTTAAAACAGCCTGACAAAACCCAGGACTTCGCTCACAGCCTCCTTAAACCATAACTGCTGCAACAACTATAGCAGTATGGGTGCTTGGAGCCTCCTTATAATTGTTGTATGTGCTTTAAAAAAATACAAAGTTTTGCTCCAAAAGTCATTCTTTCAATGTCTTGCTTGCAACTTGCAGTGTTTGGTTTCTGGGACTTGATGTTCAGCTGTTATCTTTCTACAATACAGAGTTCACAACTGAACTACAACTCCCATAACCACTTGACATGCCTATAAAGGGCAGCTGTGCAGCTATTAAAGGGATAAGCTCAGCACTGAGTAAGTAATACGCTTCATTATTGGCTGAGTCCCTGTTTTATAGAAGTTACGAAGCCTGGATATTTGCAGCAAAAGCAGGTACTTTAAATATGTTAATCTTTTATTCATTGCCTTTGCATGGTTTTTTTTTAGTGTATTTTCTACGCAAGAATAAAAAGTTATCATTAGGATTGGAGAGTCACATAAAGCACTGACGTAGTGACTATATAATGTTATCTCATATAAAATAAACAATTAATATTTTCTTTCAACTTCCTCTTTCTGTTCTTGTGAATCGCGTTGACATGAGGTCACTTTCTGTGTAAATACTCACAGCAAAAAATCCCCTTTTACATTACATGCGCCTACTCTGAAGTAGAATATGGAACTGACTGGAGAATTGGAAAGTGTGATGCAATTAAACGGTAGGTTGTGAACAAGGTGCACATTTAAAGGACAACTGTCACCAGAAATGTTAGAGATGGCATTTAAAAAAAAAAAAAGATGTATAAGTAAGTAAAACCTGACAATCTGGCCCCTATTTTCACTGAACACTAGATCCCTCTACCATATAATACACCTTCGGTCAGGCTGAGATAGAATCCAACCGTTAGACTCCTGCTTCTCCCCCTGCATAGGGTGGTGGTGTCATCAGCCATCGCCCTGTGTGCTCTTCTAAGCAGGATTATAACAGGGTTATTAACTGTACACCGGAGTTTGTTCGAATGGGGAAAACAGCTGAATTCTGACCATATTGGCAATTTACAGATTGACCAAAGTCAAATGCAGTCAAGATACAGTCGGTCCGACCGATTCTGAAACACTGGTTGAGAAAATCTGAAATGTGTACATCTAAACCAATTTACAGCACCAGGATTGCAGATTTATCAATGACCATATGGTGGCCGGTGATAAAACGAATGCATCCGGTAGGATACCTGCTCCCACATTATCACTCACTTGCTATTTGTAAGGTAATGATAATTTGAAGACCCATTTGCCCGCTGGCAGGCAGTGGGCAATAATGAAACACCCATGGCGGTGTCAGGATTAGTTATGCGGCAGCCGGTCAGTGCTTGCTAGCCAGCTGCCACATTGAAATAGTAAAAAAAATATTAAATATTATAGGGGTCAATAAGCCAATAAGTCTACTAAACATTAAAACTAGCGACTAGGCAGCCATTGCTGTCCACTTGATTAAAAAAAAAGGAGGGGAGGGGGGGTGCTCCCCTAACTCATGCCTGCCAGTGGATGGGGGACCAGGAGTATAAGGGGGAAACTAGTGTCTCCTTCCCCAGCCCATGCCAGCGTCCTATTAACTATACAATGACGGGACTGATAAAGAGAGGACCCTGGTGCAAGAAATTTTTTTTGGCTCCCTCTAGCGCAGGCATGGTCAAAAGGTAGATACCCATGTTGTACAACTTCCACAAATCATTGCCAGCCGGCAAAATAATAACCAGGCCGCAACAAAAAACAATCGATCTTCACCCATAAAGGGCTCGTAGCAGAATGAGTGCTCCTCCAGAGGAAAGCCCTTTTATAAGCTTTCCAGGCTATCACAAAGCTTAGGAGAATTTCCTGTACTTTGCCACATGACCAAGAATGCTCTGATTGGTTGGCTAGTAAATCAAACAATGACAGTGAAGTACAGAAAGTGAGAAACTTATTAGGGCCCCCACCTGCTGACATAGGTATATCTATTAGGGGCATCACACACTGGCTATGTTGGGGCCAGAGGAGGGGACACAGTCTCCCCTTACCAGAAATAACTGGGTTTCTGGTTCAAAACACCAGCAATGGTGGGGGGCAGGGGAGGAGACACTAAGTGACCCTCTTTACTACACAACTGCCATCAGAAATTTTAGGGCCCCTTACACAGCTCAAGGTCTGGGCCCCTGGGGGTTCACACCTGCTAGGTGTGTAATGGATGAAGTGTGTGTGTACATTTCTGATGGGAGTGGGTTCTGTGAGGAGTAAGCATTTCCTTTAATAATAATAATAAAAAGTATATTTTTATTTTATTCCTTTCCCTCTATATACCTTACCTGTAACCAGGAAGAAGGGGCATTACACTAGAGCTCAAATCTCAGGCACCACGTCATCAAGGCAACTAGGAATTTTGAGCAGGTCAACAGATAGGAGCATGCAGGCACTGGTTGTAAACCAGCAGAAAGTGGAGGCGGCAACTGGCCGGCCATGTAAAACCAAGGCAGCGAGGAACCGCTCTGCTCCTTTGCTCGCTGTTTACTGATGCCAGGTCCCGAAACATGAGGTCACTCCAGCATTACTACACATCACACAAGAGAGCAGAGCAGGGAGACGACAGCCCCACTGGACCCCAGGGGAAGCCAATTTACTCTAACTCTCCCAAAGGCAGGGAGGATTTAAAGGACCACTATAGTGCCAGGAAAACAAACATTTCCTGGCACTATAGTGCCCCGAGGGTGCCCCCCTCCCGCCAGGCTGAAGTTTAAAGAAGGGGTTAAATACTTACCTTTCTCCAGCGCCAGGGACTCTCCTCGTCCCAGCATTGGCTGAATGCGAAGCAAGAGCCGCACACGCGCATTCAGTGCATAGGAAAGCATTCCCAATGCTTTCCTATGGATGCTTGCATCTTCTCACTGTGAAAATCAGTGAGAAGCACAGAAGCGCCTCTAGCGGCTGGATTAACCCATATGTAAACATAGGTTTACAGGTGCAGGGTTAACCCTAGAGAGACATGGCACCCAGACCACTTCATTGAGCTGAAGTGGTCTGGGTGCCTATAGTGGTCCTTTAAATTTTTTTTTTTTATTTTCTGTGTCTGAGTGTGTGTATATGTGTTTGTTTAGGTGACTCCTAGATTCCAAGCAAATTTGTCAAGCCCTGCATTATACTCTCTGGTGTTCTATCAGTGCTGCCAATGTAACCCACAGCAACACTCAAAAGGTGCCCACTAGAGGACACTGACAAAAGTGGAACCTTCAATTACTTCACAAGTGTGACCGCAGCGTGTATATTTACATATACACACACACGTTGGACTCATGGCCTCCAGGACTTTGTTTTTGCTGCCGGCCTTCAGCCACTTGCCTTTATCCAGCACCAGTGACCTCACCTCACCCCCCCCACCCATTGGCTCAAGTGGAGCTGAATGCGCACGCACAGAACCACGTGTGCATTAAAAATGCCCATTGGAGAGCATTACCCAAGCGGCCTCTGCCAGCCACTAGAGACTGGATTAACCCTGCAGTGTAAACATAGCAGTTTCTCTGAAACTGCAATGTTGACAGCTGCAGGGTTAAAACTAGAGGGACCTGGCACCCCATTGAGATGAAGTGGTCTGGGTGCCTATAGTGGTCCTTTAAGAGGCCCCACCTACCACGGGGACACCAACTTCTGATAGAGAAAAAACATCCATCGTTTGGAAAAAATAAATAAAACTGCTTTAATCATGATGCTATTCCCCCCCCCAGTAAAGAACTGCGACACAGTACATTAGGCTTATTGTCTTATTACTAAAAACTACATTTCACAACAAGAAAAACTGAAAGATGAAAAAAAAAAATTAATTTTTATTTATCGACAAAAAAACAAAACCAATATCAGAATAAAGTCTTAGAGAAGCGATCCATCCCGGCGGATAAAGTCCAGGAATCCCATTAACAGACTGCAGACACGGTGACTGTCCATACCGGGGGCTCAGACCCGGGGGGGGGGTTTAGGGTGTCCCTGTAATGTGAGGCCGGTAGGTGCCCCCGGTCGGTACCCGCAGTCCCCCAGTCGGCCGGCGGTGGGGGGTTAGGGGGTCCCTGTGATGCCGGTAGGTGCCCTCGGTCCCGGGTTACGAGTCGTCCGGTTTGTCTGCCGGCGGGGTGGTGGTTAGGGGGGTCCCTGTGATGCCGGTAGGTGCCCCCCATTCCCCCCGGTAGGTAGGTCTCTCCGGTTACGAGTCGTCCGGTTTGTCTGCCGGCGGTGTGGGGTTAGGGGGTGCCTGTGATGCCGGTAGGTGCCCCCGCAGTCCCCCCGGTAGGTCCCCCAGACGGTTACGAGTCGTCCGGTTTGTCTGCCGGCGGGCCGCACGGTTGCAGCATTTTCTCCATGAGGTTGAAGCGGACCCGGGCTTTGCTCTCGTTCTCGGCGGCCGCGAAGTAGTTGAGGAGGTCGAAGTGGCCCATGTAGGAGCAGTACGAGTCCCGGTGCTGGTTCACCAGCCATTCCCACTTGGTGGTGTCCGCGTGGCCGGTGCCGATGTATTTGGACTGGAGGTGCTCGAGCTGGCTGTGGATGGTGTACCGGTCCGTCATGGCCGCTCTCTGCCGGGAAACACACACACACGGTGACCGGAAACAACCAACTGCCGGGAACTGACCGGGAGCGCACGGAGGGGCCTGGTGTGAGGCTGGCAGCGTGAGCGGATATGACGTAGGCGGAGGAGGAGAGCTACCGGAAGTCATAAACACGTGACCAAACCAGCCAGCTCTTATTGTTATACATAGACCCCCCCATACCCTCCCCCTCATTGTGTAATAGGCTCCCCATTATTATTAGGACCCCCTGACCCCCCTCATTGTGTAATAGGCTCCCCATTATTATTAGGACCCCCAGACCCCCCTCATTGTGTAATAGGTTCCCCCTTATTAGGACCCCTGACCCCTCATTGTGTAATGGTTCCCCCCTGACCCTCATGTAATAGGGACCCCTCCCCTCATTGTGTAATAGGTTCCCATTATTATTAGGACCCCATGACCCCTCATTGTGTAATAGGCTCATAATTAGGGACCCCTGATCCCCTCATTGTGTAATAGGTTCCCATTGTTATTATTAGGACCCTGACCCCCTCATTGTGTAATAGGTTCCCTAGGGACCCCTGACCCTCATTGTGTGGTAATAGGTTCCCCATTATTACTTATTGGTACCCATGGACCCCCTCATTGTGTAATAGGTTCTCTCACCCTCATTGTGTAATAGGTTCCCCATTATTATTAGGACCCCTGACCCCCTCATTGTGTGTAATAGGTCCCATTATTATTAGGACCCCCGGACCCTCATTGTGTAATAGGACCCCCCCTCATTTGGCTATTAGGACCCCATGACCCTCATTGTGTAATAGGCTCCCTTATAATAGGGACCCCTCATTGGTAATAGGGACCCCATGACCCCTGTGTAATAGGTTCCCTTATTATTAGGACTCCTGACCCCCTTGTGTAATAGGTCCCCTTACATAGGGGACCCCTGATCCCTCATGTGTAATAGGGACCCCTGACCCCCTCATTGTGTAATAGGTTCCACCTTGTTATTAGGACCCCCTGACATGAGTGATGGGGGCCAGGGGAGGGGACACTCCCCCCCCCACCTTATAGATAATGCCCTCCAGTTGTAGGTAATAGCCCCCCTATCCCCATCCCCCCCATCCATTATACTTTGGACCCTCCTGGCATGGGTGGTGGAGTCCAAGGGAGGGGACCCTAGATCCCCCCCAATTATAGATAATACCCCCACCCCTTTATTACACTAGTCCCCCCACCTTTTCTAGCAACTGAAGAGCAATAGGTGCCCAGTCTCTAAATATAATGTTTAGTAGACATGCTGGGGGCATATGGATTTTTTTATTTTATTTTATTTTCATGTGGCGGCTTGTTTTCTAGTGCTGGCCAGTCACCACATAGTTAACACTTAGGCCGCCCAGTGAGTGATTATTTGCGTTCGAGAATCTTGCCAAATGCATTCAGTTCATCACCTGCCGCCAATTCCGGTGGTGTAGACTGGGTTCAGATGCGAAAATCTCAGATTTTCTGAATTCGTCCGAACTAATGTTACAGAATCGTCGAAACAACCGAATCCTGACTGCATTTTGCTTTGCTAAATCTGTGAATTCCAATGCAGTCATAATTCGGTCGTTTTCACCGGATTTTGTCCATTCCTTACACTTTATAGTTTTCCCTTATGCCAATAGCTCAGAAGCAAGTAAACCTACTCTGTGTGTATGACATCTCTGTTTTTATTCAGTTTTGCTAGCCATTTCCTCACTTTTTCAATGAATGAATACTTGCTAGGAGAGCCATTTTTTTTTTAACTCTTACAGGGTCAATCAGTAAAGTGAGAATTCAAAGTGGATTTCACATTTAAAGCCAGCGTAGCTGAATTATTTTATTTCAATTTGGCTAATCCTTTACATTGCCCTTATGAAAACCATGGGAGAGCTCTACTCATCCCTTAAATTATTTGTGTGTAAGTGTATGCTTTATCCTTGAAAAGGGAGAATGAAGTGGAGCGTAGGGTGAGAAAATTAAATTTGCATTTGAGTTGGAAGACTTTTCGCCTTATCCAGATCCCATGTACTTTGGCGTTCTTGTTGGGTATCATGCCAGAAAAGCAGAATTATTATTTGCACTCTACATTATATTTGGGTGTCTATTCACTTAACAGCGAATTGCGGTGACTTTATAACCAGGTTGCAAAATGTAGGCCACACTGACCAAGCTGTAAAAAAATGTCCAACTTGACCAAATTGTAGACTTCACCCTATTTTAGCCTAAATTTGGCTAATCAGTAACACATTTCGTTTTTTTTTTTTTAGTAAATAGACCCATTTTGTTATAACTGATCATCCTTTTCATATACTGTATAGCCAGCTGTGATTTTCTGATAAACATAATATCAAAGGAATGTAAAATTGGATTTTTATCTTATTTGCAGCCCATGGTCAATTCTCCACCATTTCAACTTGAGTGAATAAGCCCCATACTGTACAGGACAGCTACACTGTATCAGGGATGTGCTCCTAGCAACAGATGACAAATCCATCTTTTGACTCTCACAGGCTGCCAGCAGGAGGAGACTTTGGTAACTTTAACGTCCTACTTTGGAATTACCCATATTGATGTCTCCTCCTCTGCCACTTGTGTACATCTTTGTCACACCAGGAAGCTGGGACTTTATTACTTAACAGGAACAAAGCAGTGAGGAGTGGACCAGCTGCAAGATGCAGGGCTTAGTCTGGCTGACCCTTTTTTCTGTCTTTTGTGTTTTTTCTGCCAAAGAAGGTAAGTGATCACGTGTACCCTGTGAATTATTTATTGATGTATATTTATATGGAATTGTCTAGCCATTTAACACCTAGATGTGCTTTCACCTTTACAGAGGACAATCCCAAACTTAAAATGGACATTTATTGCTAAGAAAATGGTGGTCAAAAGATAGATTCTGCTAGGTGTTAAACTACATCTCCCCTGAATATTTGTCAGTATTTAGAAATGAGATCTAGGACAGTTGGTGAGGTCTATTGTCTGGGTACACCTGGCTGAGAACAAGTTTCTTATTTGGCGTGTAGGAGGGTGGTCATCTACAGAATGCATGTTAACCAGCTGGTTATTATCTTGATTTTTGAGAACAAAAAAGTTTGTTGTTTTTTTTGTTGCATTGTGCTTTGCAGAATTGGTAATAAACACAATGCGTATCAGATATGTTGAACCTTTAGCTTTGACTTCCACCAGCCCCTCCTCTACATTTCACAGAGAGATCTGGGGGTTGTAGTTTACTTACAGCTGAAGGAGTGACTTTCATGTCTTTCAAACTATTTCCATGATTGTAGAATTGTTAGCAGATCACAGAATTATTCACTTGGAGGTCTACTCACTAAACACCAAATTGTATCAAATTAAAACCTGAATGGTAAAATTTAGGCTAAATTAGATCAGGAAAAAATCTCTAGCTGAGCTATAGTCACTGCTTGCTTTTTCGCCTATAGTCTGTATTTTGGATTACAATTTACAACAATTCAGAATTTTTGGTGATATCTTTAGACATTCAAAGTGAAATTGTAATACATTTGGCCAAAACAGCTGTGTTAGGAAAATTTCAAATGGGGAAAAAAAAGTTAAGTACTAAAATTAGAATGTTTAGTTCCCTAGGACAGTAGGAGACATCCAGGGCTGTCAAAGACTAAACCCTAAAATTGGAACAAACTTGAAATTGACCTAACCTTTAATGGAACAGATCATTCCTACCTGATCATAACCAAAATCCTCAAAATTATTAATAATTAAAAAAAATCTAGTAACTAAATAATGTATATACAATTATTTGTTTAATGTATATACCTCTAGGTGCAACATTGTATGTACATTATTTTGTCACTAGGTTTTAAAAAACAAAACAAAAACAAACACATTTAAATGAGGAAAATTCTCCTAGTACGTCATGCATCCAATTTAGCTATTTAGGACATTTTTCTTTTTCCTTTAAATTTACTTTCAGTTTGCACTTTAATGAATAACCCTGTGGGTGTCTGGCTCAGTAACCTATATTTCACAGTGTTATTATTGTAATTGCTAATCATATTGCGTTGACGCCCTCTTAAGTACATTTGTTTGCATTATTATTGAAGCTGAGTATAAGTGTTTGCGTATGTATTACTTTCACTTTTCGTGCACTCAATAAACTAACCTAAAGGGACACTAAAATCGCTGTTACTTTTGTAGATTATTAAAGTGGTTATGGTGCAAGGAATCTTTGAGTGTAGTCAGTCTTTTTTTTTTTTTTAACCTATTTTGTACAGATTCCTTAACACAGGGCTCTCCCAGCATCCATAGCATGCCTCCCAATTGCTGCTGACCTTATTCCTTCCAAGGTTGGATGGCAGTGATAGGTTGTGAGATGGTAGGGGGTTAAAATTGCAGCCACAGCCTGCTGTTGCTGTCTAAAATTTCTATAATTCTAATGAGAAAATGAACCAAATGCATTACCACTGGCACCAAGAGAACCCATTAAAAAAAAAAACTAAAAAAAAACCAGTTTAAAAGGGTTTAAACATAAACTGGCGGGACTGATAACAACCATAACCACTGTAAAATGCTGGTTATGAAGCACAGTTTCCTTTTATCTAAAAAGCACTCTGTCACCTTTACGATGACTTATGTTTTTTTTATTCTGCCTATATATTGTGCACCCTGGATAACAAATGTATAAATGAGCAAATATTAAACTAAAATTGTTTCCTCCTCGTGTCCTGTGCTGTTTTTTGGCCCCAAGCTAACCACGTGATAGTAGTACATAACTTACTATGGTCTGTAATAAATCCCAGAATGCGTTGGTCTTGGGACAGATTATTCTTTGTTAGTTGAGGTATAAAACGTGTTTGCAGCTGGTTTGCCATGCAACAGATTGTTGCTTTTAACATTTTAATATTTTTTTTCTTCTTCTTCTAATTGTTTAACCGGTGCAGGACTCTGGTGTTAGACCAGATTTCCAGAGAATTTTTGCCATTCCTGTAACATTAATTTGCTACATAGTAACTCTGTGCCAATCTTACTTAGGCCTTGTTTCTATTTTAATAACAACAAATACTGGCAGTAATTGAGAGGTGTGTCACACTGTAATGTTATTTAATAGGACAGTAGAGTCACACGTCTCATGTTAAATGAGGCGGATCTGGAAAGGTACACAGGAGTGCACATGAACAGGTCTACACCTGAAATATAGAGAAAGAATAGACCTTTATAGGTTTAGGTTTTGTTTAGGTCTTGATTAGCTACAAATCTTTCAAATTGACACATTCATGTGAGGGGAATTTGAATGAAGCTGTAACCACGCCAAGCCTATTCCAGGACATTTTGTGAATTTACAGTGACCTCAACAACTACTACATACCACCCAATAGTTCCGTATTAGATGATTCAGTCCAGTGTTCGGGTCTCCCCATACAGTTCAGTATGAGCACATCAACACACGTACTTGCACTGTGCTCATTATCCCGATGGGCAGAATGGTTCAGAAGTACTTTGTGTACGCAAAGGCATTCTTGCATGAAATCCAAGAGGTCATCATTAGAAATTAATTTTTAAACCCTCTCCATGTGGCCTTGACAGCAGCAGTCCTTTAAGTTAGCTATTTTATTAGTGTGTTTCTCTATTATCTGTTTATGTGTTAGAACTATATCTGACAATCTGTTTTGGAAGTCCATGGTTTCATCTATTTTGGATTGAATGTGGGTGGTGTGTTCACCTTATTTCATAAGTGCTGAAACATGCTTAAACTGTTTCCAATCTGTCTTGTTTAAATTACATTTTCTATCCAGGTGCAGCAACGTTAGCATTCTTCGATGATGAAGTAGAATTGGAATACGGTGAAAGTCTTGATGGTGAGTCCTTTTTTAGACTTGTATGTGGTGACTTGAGACTAGCTCAGTGGTTCCCATCGTTCTTTGGACCAATGCACAATTTGATGAGAGAATAATTATTTTATTTTTACTTTCATCAGAAGATTATAAATGTCTCACTAGAAAGAAATGCATTCTAGCCGTGTAGAATTATTACAGATGGAAAGCAAAAAAAAAATACACACACATTTTAAGGGTCCCATTCAACCTATAACAACCCTGAAGTCGAGGAGTTCATGGTGCACTTTGGGGCTTGAGGCATAGCACGGCACACTGTTTGCAAACCTACTGCACTAGACAACAAGATAATTTTTTTTAATGAATTATGTATTGCCAAGTTGTATTTGAGCCAGAGTGTACAGGGAAGTATATCTGTTGCACCTGTTGTGGGATACTGACCTTGTCAGTGATGGTTGGCGGTTTGCATGCACAGCCCCACCATGCAATCTAGGATGCCATAATGTGAGGGCAGGCAGTTTGCAGGGAGCGATCTTCAGGTAAGTATATGTTTTAGTCGATTTTGGAGAGCACAGTCTTCATGTCATTAACACTTAAAAGGATACGATAGGCATCAGCACAACTTAATTAAAAAGTTTTGGTGTATAGATCAAGACCCTAAAGTCTCACTGCTTAAAGGACCACTATAGGCACCCAGACCACTTCAGCTTAATGAAGTGGTCTGGGTGCCAGGTCCATCTAGGTTTAACCCTGCCTGCTGTAAACATAGCAGTTTCAGAGAAACTGCTATGTTTACAAATGGATTAATCCAGCCTCTGGTGGCTGTCTCATTGACAGCCACTAGAGGCGCTTCTGCGCTTCTCACTGATTTTCACAGTGAGAAGATGCCAGTGTCCATAGGAAAGCATTGAGAATGCTTTCCTATGAGACTGGCTGAATGGGCGCGCGGCTCTTGCCGCGTATGAGCATTCAGCCGATGACGGCAGAAGAAGGAGGAGATTCCCCAGTGCCGAGGGAGCCTGGTGCTGGAGAAAGGTGAGAATTTAACCGCTTCCTCACCCTAGAGCCCAGCGGGAGGGGGACCCAGAGGGTGACGGGGACCCAATGACCCTATAGAGCCAGGAAAAGGAGTATGTTTTCCTGGCACTATAGTGGTCCTTTAATTTTATGGCATGTAGGAGTTAAATCGCTTTTGTTTCTGTTTATGTAGCCCAAGCCACACCTCCTCTGTAACTCACACTGCCTGCATGAAAAAAATGGTTTAAAGTTCAGTCAGACGTTAACTTGCTTTAGAAGTTTTTATTTCCTCCTCTGTAAATTGAACTTTAATCCAGTCCTGAAGTATCCCTATAAAGTTTGAATGTTTTAGTTCCTTTTTTTTTAATTATTATTATTTATTATTCACTGGTCTTGTCCAGCCCACTGGCATGGCGGTAAAGTCTACCAATATGAAATCAAAGGTTGTCAAACTCCAGTCACTGTTGACTTTATGAATTGATTTTGTTTTTCAGAAAATGCTGAGTTATATATTTCTGGACCAGAATATCCAGTACTGGAAGGAGTTTCTGTGACTTTGGAATGCTTTTCTTCCAATTACACAGACCTGTCGAATTTTACCTTCCAGAAATACCTCCAGGTAAGTCAGCATATTTGCTATTATATGGAATTATACACATTTTCACATTTTTATTGTTTGTACAACCCTGTATAGTGAAATTTCTTTTAACCCCTTAAGGAAACATGACATGTGTGACATGTCATGATTCCCTTTTATTCCAGAAGTTTGGTCCTTAAGGGGTTAAACTGTATTTACTGGCAATTTCTCAGAGACTCTAGGTAACTGGAGGTGGCGTTCTACGTGATTAGTCATCATACGATGGCAAGTTTACTTTTACTTGTTAAACCGGTTTGACATCCTAGCAAACACTACTTTACGGAGATAAAATGACCTCTGACTTTTTCATAATTAACAGTTTTGTTTATTTTCTGTTTGCAGCAAAATAAGCATTTCAAGGGATACAGAAAGAAGAAAAAGGGGGAACGGGGATAACATTGCAATTTGTATACATATCCGACTTGCCTGCAATTTTTACATCTTAAACTTTCGACCATGTTTTCAGTAACTTCATAGGTCTAGACTTAGGCGCCTCGGCATGATAGTTCTATATATCCCCCGAAGTAGGGTTGTAGGTATGGTATTTATGGATAGTAGGACAATGAAACCTATTTACATGGGTTATTTACATCCTATAATTCCTAAGTCTGTGTGTCCAGGTTTCTACTAGTGTATGCTCTGTGGAGGTTTGTCCCCTGGGTCATTTACGGCTTTCCTTGACTCTCTGATTGGGTCTCGTCTTGGTCATCTGTTTGCTCCACATCAATCCCACTCTCTCTTGGTTTTGGTGTGTTTCGCTGCCATTAAGGGGGGGTCAAGGTTGCTATTCTGATCATTTGCGTGGGGATTGTCTATGTATTTGTGATCTCTGACTTTTAAACCCAACATACCTAGAAAAACCAGACCGACTGAACACCTTAAATACACTAACTGCAGCTTTACAAAAAAAGAACATCCCCTTAGAGTACTTCAAGCTACACAGGTGACAGAGTCACTTTAAACATGGTAAAAATGGAGCACACGCTAATTCACTAAAATATGGATTGTCTGAAATTCTAAGTGAAATTCAAGTTTTAAAAATATAAAGTTTTAAGCATTATAACCAAAGGTGTACCTAGGTTACATGGCACTCAGACCGAAATGTATTTTGACACTCTTTTGCATGCACATACTCCCAAATATATATTCATGGAATTCATATTCACATACCCACATAAGGACACATACACACATTGATATATTGACACAGACATCAAGCATTCATATTGACACAGACATCAAGCATTCATATTGACACAGACATCAATACGTAAACACAAATTCATTTTCATTTTGGGGAGGGGGCGAGGGGTTCGCCCAAGAGAGATCCGAGCAGCTCCCTCTCTTCTCTCTCTGCAGCCACTAGAGGAAAGCAGAAAAAAAGCAGGCACCTGCTGTGCAGCGCCCCCACCAGTATTGCACTTCACTCTGCTCGCTCCTCTGCCGCCTGTTACCTGGGGCAGACCATCCTTCCAGACTACTCTATTGATCATAACCACTATAGCCTATTGTAATGGTTAGGGTGCCAGGTATCATCTAAATTTGATATGTAAAACTGTTTAGCATAGTTGGTTAATTTATGGATTTCCTTCCTACCACACGCGAAGTCCACACAATGTAGGGCAGCACTCTTCATTTGCTGCCCATCTGGGTGTTGAAGTGAAAACCTGACAAAAAAGATTTCTCTCGTTTTCAAGTATGTCCTTGGTCCACAAAGCATTGCATTGATACAATAGGGTACAATAAATACAAAATTTAACACAGAGCTGGTAGGAAATATATGATCAAGCATGACAGGTGCATTCTGTTTTGAGGTATGTAGAGAGGGATCTCTTAACCCCTTAAGGACCGAGGACGGTTCAGGACCGTCATCGGCATTTTTGCGTTGCCGACCGATGACGGTCCTGAACCGTCCTAACGGTCAGAGCTACTTACCTGATCGCCGTCGTTCCCCCGGCGGCGATCAGTGTGGCTCCGGTTGTGGGGAGACTGTCTGCAGCCCAGGCAGTCTCCCCACGGCAGATTAGGACCCCTGTGGGCATGTGATCGCTTAACACAGCGATCACATGGTCACAATAGGTGTCCATGTGTCTGCCTGCAGGGGAACTGTCTGTGCTGACAGGCAGTCTCCCTGCTAGTGTAAAATCAAAAAAATAAATAAAGTTAATGTTAATAAAAAATAAATAAATAATTATATATGTGTATATATGATATATAGACATATATTATATTTATATAATATATGTCTATATATCATATATATATAATGTCATACTAAGTGTATTTTTATATTAATATGTACTTATATTAATATAAAATACACTTATAATTAAATTACACACGTATATATATAATATATATAATAACTATATATATTGTATATATATATTATTATAAAATATAAATAATAAGTAATTTAAATTAAATAATTTTTTTTTAAATAATAATAAAAAATTTTAAAAAATTATATAGCTATATGAAATTTTATTCTAACTGTATTTTAAAATTAATATATATATATTTATATCAAAATACACTTAGAATGAATTTGTATATATATCTATGTATATAAAAATAAATAAAAATAATAAGAAATATACATACGTCCATATACAAAATTACATAAATAATTATATAAATATACACGTAGACTTCAAATATATAAATATGCATATATATTTAAATTCTACGTGCGTATTTATGTAATATTTTTACATAATTCAGTAATTTTATTGATTGCAATTTGAGGGACCTGCCTGCCAACCCAGGCCGAAATTCCAGAGAATTTAATTTGCTAGCACTGTATTTTACCCTGTAACGTTCTACGACACCCTAAAACCTGTACATGGGGGGTACTGTTTTACTCGGGAGACTTCGCTGAACACAAATATTAGTGATTCAAAACAGTAAAACATATCACAGCGATGATATTGTCAGTGAAAGTGACTTTTTTTGCATTTTTCACACACAAACAGCACTTTTACTGATGATATAATTGTTGTGATACGTTTTCCAGTTTTTAAACACTACTATTTGTGTTCAGCGATGTCTCCCGAGTAAAACAGTACCCCCCATGTACAGGTTTTATAGCATTTTTGAAAGTTACAAGGTCAAATATATGGGTCAAATATTTTTACATTGAAAATGGCCAGGTTGGTTACGTTGCCTTTGAGAGCGTATGGTAGCCCAGGAATGAGAATTACCCCCATGATGGCATACCATTTGCAAAAGAAGACAACCCAAGGTATTGCAAATGGGGTATGTCCAGTCTTTTTTAGTAACCACTTGGTCACAAACACTGGCCAAAATTAGCGCTCAATTTAGTTTTTTTACTTTTTTCACACACAAACAAATATGAATGCTTACTTTGGCCAGTGTTTTCGACTAAGTGGCTACTAAAAAAGACTGGACATACCCCATATTGAATACCCTGGGTTGTCTACTTTAAAAAAAATATGTACATGTGGGGTGTTATTCAGAGATTTATGACAGATAATAGTGTTACAATGTCACTATTGATAAATTTTAAAATGTATGTTTTGAAACCGCAATATCCTACTTGTACCTATAGCCCTATAACATGCAAAAAAAAGCAAAAAAGCACGTAAACACTAGGTATTTTTAAACTCAGGACAAAATTTTGAATCTATTTAGCAGTTTTTTCATTCGCTTTTGTAGATGAGTAAAAGATTTTTCAAGTAAAAGTCAAAAAACATGTATTTTTTTCAATTTTTCATCAGATTTTTTTATTTTTTTTAAATTAAAATACATGAGATTATATAAATAATGGTATGTAAAGAAAGCCCCTTTTGTCCTGAAAAAAACAATATATAATTTGTATGGGAACAGTAAATGAGAAAGCGGAAAATTACAGCCAAACACAAACACCACAAAAGTGTAAAAATATGCCTGGTCGCAAATGTACAACATCGCAAAAACAGTCCAGTCCTTAAGGGGTTAAAGGATTTTAGGCCTTGGGAAGATTTGAAAGTCGTTCCATAATTGCGGTGCTCTGTCTCTGTAGGAGAAGGAGGATTGGGCTACTTTCTTTTTGTATTGAGGTAGACTAAATAAAGTGCTGGTATTGGATCAGAGGTTAACAGCTGGGGAGAGCATTCTGATCAGGTAGGGTGGGAGCTTCACAGAAAAGCTCTTAAACACAAGGCTGGAAAGGTGAAGGGTGCATCTGGATTCCAGCGACAGCCAGTTTAGTTCTTTTAGCATGTCACAATGCTACATTGTAGCACAAAGTGCCAGAACGAGTTTTTCAATGTATTGAGTTTATTAAGGTGGGTTTGCGATTCAGGTGTATATGCTACATCGCCATAATCAATGATTGGCATCAGCATTTGCTGTACAATCTTTTCCTTTACTGTAGGGCTTAGGCAGGATTTGTTTCTGTACAGGCCACTGAGTTTTGGATAAAGTTTAGATGCAAGCTTTTCTATGTGCAGGCCAAAAGATAGATTGGGGTCTAACAACATGCCCAAGTATTTGAAAGAGTGGACTGCGGTCAGTGTGCTATTTGATTTTGTTTTGATGGATAGGTGGGAATTGTGTAATTTGTGTAATTTAGGTACTGTTCCAAAGATCATTGTGACAGTTTTGTCAGTGTTTAGGAAGAGTTTGTTTTTTCGCGATCCACTCTTCTACCTCTGTGAACTGGTCTTGGAGCACAGCCTCAAGCTGCGGTAGATCGGTTTTGCTTGCATAGATTACTGTGCCGTCTGTGTACATGTCTACATTTGAGGATTTGACATTAGGCAGATCATTTATAAATAATGTGAATAGTAGGGGGCCGAGAATGGAACATTGGGGAACACCAAGGGAGGGAGTCGCTGTCAGAAATGGACACATATTGTGAGCGATCTGATACATATGATCGAAACCAGGTAAGCGGACGATCACCAATACCTGAGATTTTTAGTGTGTGCAGTAGAATGTCCACTGTGTCAAAGGCCTTTGCAAAATCAAGGAAAATAGCTCCAGTTAGGTTTCCTTGTTCCACGCCAGTTTAGATGTATTGCAAACTTTTAGAGGGCAGTGGAGTGATTCAGGCGAAAGCTTGATGGGTCAGATAGTTAGATTGTTGGTAATACTCACATAGTTGCGTATGGACACATTTTTCTAAGATTTTTGACAATCGGCAAACAAGCCAAGTCGTTTATTTATTCCCTTACTATTTTCGCAAGAAAAAAAGAAGACAAAAAACGGTTTTAGTAGAAATGTTTGATTTAAACTAAACAAAGAGATAGTACAAACTTTTACTTGTAAAATGAAAAGCAAATACAATTATGTTTGTGTAATTCCGTCTTGCTCTGAAGCACTGACAGCTTTCTGCTCTGATTCAGCCTGCGAACACTTTCATTGGTATTTATGTATTATAATCTTTGATGGATGCTTTTATTAGATTCTTATAGGAAAAATGCATTTCTCCTCTGTTCTCCTTATATAAATTAGAAGCTTTAACGCATTAAGCTGACGGGCATTGACTCAATCCTTCTCATTTCCAGTGGATTATGGCTAGACCTTAGCACATAGAGAGTTAAACTGTGAATTTTAGAGATTAAGCGACTCTGCTTAAATTAATTTAAACGGTAATGTCAAAGATAAGGCTACAATCCGTCAGATCCACCATTTTTTCTAAACACATTGTAGCTGGAAGTACAGGGTACACAGGAGAGAAAATATATAATTTAGAAATGTAGTGACTTTGGAATCTGTCCTTTTTTGATTGGTTGATTTCCTTTGTCATATCCTACTTGTGTACTGCAGGGCATTAACCCCTTAAGGACCAAACTTTTGGAATAAAAGGGAATCATGACATGTCACACATGTCATGTGTCCTTAAGGGGTTAAAGGGACACTATAGTCACCAAAATAATTTTAGTTTAATTAAGCAGTTTTTGTGTATAGATCTTGTCTCTGAAGTTTCATAGTTGTTTGGGTGACTATAGTGTCCTTTAAATTTTTATGAGTCACTTTTCATGCAATACCCAACAACATTAATAAATTATGTGTTTCAGACCTACAAAAATAAATCTTTATCTGACACAAAATAATTATTTAGTTTGTGGCAAATATGTTTTGTATAGTGAAACATTATTCCATGATTGGTTTGTCTGTTTTGTTTCTTTGCCCTAATGCCATTTCATCTCTCGTTCGATACCGGTCTCTGATAATTAGCAGACTGAAACCAAAGCAGTATCTGCCTGCGGACGAGTCCCCCTTTTTTAATTACTGGAAAATCTTTGAAATTAATTAGACAGTGTAACTGGGTAAAGATTTCACTGGAGGTTCAAGGTAAACAAAAACATGTGAGATAAACCGTATTTTAGTTTTACCTCACTCTCTCAAACACGTGTTAATATTTCTGCTCAGACAAAGTGTCTTTGTTTTACAACAGTGTGCTGGGTAGAGACCGTTTCCTTTGAAGCAATTTCCTGTTGTAACTCACAACATCCTGCTCAGAGCGTGTTTATGTATTTTTCTTAAATGGGCCTCACCACTACATAAACTGTGCGCTTGTCAGCTTTGAAATTGTCACCGTATATCAGCAAAATACAGTAGTTTGAAAAAGTGTCTTCCACTTGTGCAGTGCTTCCAACACAGTCCTTAAAGTGGCTCTGTCATGGACTGAACCTTTTTTTTTTATAGTCTTCCCCCTTACCCTATATGTTCTAAATTATTCATTTTTCATCCATTTTCTGCCTTCTATTTTGAGTTTGGTGCTGGATTTTCTCCCTATCTGCCGCTATGTTCAGGAGCCTGGCAGTGAAGGATTGCCTCTTCCTTGCTTTGACGCTTTTTCCACCATGAGCCTTTGTTCCTGTTCATACATGACTCTTGGTGAAAGACAATGCAGCATTGTGAGTAACATTACAGCCGTGAAACTGCTATGTTTATAAAAAAAAGGGTTAATTCTAGAGGGACCTGGCACCCAGACCACTTCATTAAGCTGAAGTGGTCTGGGTGCCTAGAGTGGTCCTTTAAGCTCCGCACTTCGTCGTATTTTGTCAAGTGGAGAAAAAATACTTACGACTCTGCTTTGACTTATGTATATTAAGAAAAATAGATAAGAAAAGATCAGTTTTGGAGATGGAAAGAGAAGAGGAATCGATTGAGGAAAGTTAAGTTTAGGGTGACAGCACCACTTTATGACATATCAGTCCACGTTTTGCCAGTACCCCCGATGAAACATAAGTAAGAAATGCCAAGTTGTACACTGTGGGTGTGAGGGCATGTACTTACGAGCCGTAAATTAAAAAAATATATACTGCATGTTTTATAAAAGTCCTGAAATATATTGTTTAATCTTATTTTTATTATCTGTCTTTTAACCATTACAAAGAAATATAGTAAATATAACTATTTAATATCTATCTCTTGTGCTTTATTCACACATACCTCGGAATGTACGTTTCGTTACACCATTTTATATTCATTTAGTTTACATCTTTGTTGCCAATGACTTATTTTCACATCTTTCAGAGTGTAGGAAGGTCATTTGTAGATGTTCTGCCTGGGGCACCTGATGAGCTGAGTTTTAATTACATCACTGAATTCTTATTCCCTCAAGAAGATCATTTGACATATATTGGTCTTGGGATCTAGTTTAAAGTGACACTTTAAGTCATAACATCTCCTTATACAATAAAGGAATGCAATTAAAATAAAACAAATGTATTTGCTCTTTTTAAGTACATTCTCAACTCCTCTCCTGTGCCATCAGTGAGATCTGTGGGTGTTACTTAATGTACCACCAGCCCCATTACGGCCTATGTCCTGCCATTCTCTGATATTCTCAGCCCTCCTCGGAAACTCTATCATAAGCGAGACATACCACCGTCATGGACAATGTCACAGCAAACGCCAAGTAGTTGTTGTAGCAGAGAGTTGGAGAACCAATTGGACAAAGGTTCTCTGTCAATTAGTTATCAATGCGCTGGTCTTTGGTATGCAAACCAGTAAGTGTCATTCTCTGAGCTCTGCTTTCAACCCCTGTAGTGTTGGTGTGACATGTTTGGTAAATGTAAGTGTACTGGCACCATAGCTACTCGTGCTCCTGTAAAGCAAAAAAAAAAATATTGAAGTTATGGATCTGGGAGTGATCTTGCAATTGTCAATTCGTGACATACAGTAGCCTGTCTGTCATCCTGTCTTTCTAGGGATTTTTTTATGTGGTGTCCCAAGAAGTCTCTATGATGTGCACATTATATTCCAGGGCATTTGTGCATGGACAGCCCTGGTTGACTCGCAGGACATCCTGGTGTCCAAGGTACACATGTAAACTGGGATGATGCCCCCTTTTTGTGGCCACAAGCATTGCCAACCCACCCAAACTCTATATGTCCTGTAGTAGACAGATATACAATTACCAGCTTCCTCTCCAGTCCAGTCATCCAGTCATTTTTTAAGATACACAGCTCTTTACAATGACCAACCTGTTGACACAGGTACGTTGCTTTGTAAAAGGCACTGAAAGAGTTTTGATTATGTATGAAATTATGGAGGAGACCTAGTTATGCAGGAGAAAATGGTGTGCATCTTTAAAATGATGTACCATTGTCCCCAAGTTAGTATTTTATTTATTTATTCTTGCTAAAAAGACAACTGTAATAAGATTTTTCACTTTTTTGCTTTTAAAACTTTTATTATATTTAATTAAACAATGATATATTTTTCTAATAATGTATATTGTTTTGTTTTTATAGAAAATGTCACTTTTTTATTTGTCTGAGCAGTCATGTTGGGTCAGACTCTACTGTTTTTTTAAACTCTGTGCTACATGACATTATTCCAGACTGTGTCAAAATGTTTAAATAAATAAATAAAAACATTATTGCCACAATACTTCATCTTTAAAAGCAAGCGTAAAAGTTAAACATCTTACTGGGAAAAAATAAAATAAAGTAAAATAAAAAAAAAAAAATATATATATATATAACAGTGTTTAGTATTTCACTTCCTGCTTTGAATTACATTCTGTAATCTATCCCGATATCTGCCAGCATACTATGTTGTTAATCATGGTACAATGTTTGCCCGGTTTTAATGCTTACTTAATAATTGCAATTATATTCAATGAATGGAACTGGGTGAGGCGAACTTGTTTGGACAAACCAGATATAAGATCATGTCCCAACAGGCTAATCATTTATAATCATGAAAGTCAGACAGAATTGAAAATATCCCAATCTCACCCATGTCCCAGATGTGCTACAGCTCATATACAGAGTTGTTCTGTACAGTTTTTTTTTTTACGTTACGCAGAGAAATCTAGTACAATGTAAGCACTTGTTATAAAAAAAAGTTATTGGAACATTGTCAGTGATCACTTCCTGGTCTCTGCAGTGTTCTCTGTACGACTTATAAATTTAGCTTGAAGGTTTGTTGCAAGTGCAGCATCTTCAAATGTAAGTTTCTTTCTTTCTTTATTCTTTTATTGTTTGGCTTGGTTTGCTTTGCATATGTTTTGCAATGCATATTTTTGAAAATGAAAAAAGAATGGGTCAATTCTAGCCTGTAGTGCTTTGTTAAAAAAAAAAAAAAAAAGTCATAGTTAAAATAGGCATTTAATGATTGACCCAGCAGGTGGTTTTTAAAGTGATAAATACGTGCCTCCGGCGTAGTCTCCAATTAGATATCTGCCCTAGGGGGGCATGTCATCACTGGTTTAAAAGCTGATCAGCATTGGAGACGTTGGAAAGAGAACTAATTTGAAAAAAAAAACAGGCACAGCTTCTCTAAAAATAAAGTGGTCTGTGCAGTAAACCAGGTTATATTTAGCTTTATAGCTCTTTTAAAGCTACATTGGTTTTAGTATATCTCATCATGAGAGTGCGTTGCGCAGTACTAAATTCGCTGCATGAGAATACATTTCCGCTTTAATCTGCTATATCCCAGGGGTCATTTTCCACTGCAACAAATATATCAACAACTAGGAGAACAATCAGGTACATTATTGAGGTGTAAAAACCTTTTTCTATAACGACTTTCATGGTGCGATGTTAAGGCCAGCCTGGAGTGATGGAGAATTTTACAAATTTGGCTTATTTTGGACTAAATTTAGAATTCACTCAGAATTTCTATCGATTCAAGTCCCCAGAATACTAACTGTTGTGTTTGTAAAGTCTCTCATGTGCAGTATTACCAAGTGATGCTTGTCCTCGCGAAAACTCTGTCTTCAAGAAAAGGCACAGAACCGATTGCTTTCTGCCCCAAGTACAAGATCCACGATATTATCACTGAACAATAAATTACTATCAAGGACCTAATAAGGTCTTTGGTCAACTTTTATCTTAAAAACTAAATAAATATTTTTTGGGGAGCGGTCTTATAAAAGTGTGAAGTGTGATAGTGTGAACTGGGATATTGTATGAGAATCGTAAATGTCCCTATAACAGAGACATTAATGAGCAAGGAACATGTTGTAAAGTTTTGATGAATCTAAATACCAGTAGATTAGGGTACATACCATTAGTAGTCTGAAATTTCAGGTACGACACACACTTCTGTTCTCCTTATTGGGCCAAGTTCGAACATTGGTCATTGGGTCGTAAACTCAATCCGCCCCAAGAGACTAATGTAATTTGTAGAGGTGGATGAAGAATCAAGGCAGGTTTCAGCAGAATGTCTATAATGAGGTGATTTAATGGTTTCCTCTAGGTGGAATCGTATAAAATAGATTTGATTTATTTAAAGAAGAGGCAATAGGAATATGGTAGTAGATAGGAACTGTATTGTTTGCTAGGCACTTTCTGTTTTCAAGACGGTGACTCAAGTACAATTCATCTGGAAAATTTGAGATAAAAATGCATTTATTTTGTTATTGTGAAATAATCTTTTTGATCGTCCAAAGAAGTGTCAATATGCATATCTGCAGTAAGTCTAAAAAACAACTTAATTTAATGTGTAAATTTGTCCATTCCTTGCAAACAGAAAAATGGCGTGTTTATATTGCCTTGAATGGATGAGTTGTTTGTTGTGGGAATTTCCTGTCTCTTTAAGATCTTGTCTTGACTTCATCCACCGAACCAAAAAAAAAAAAAAGAAAAAAAAAAAGAGAAAAATAAAAATGAAATTTTGTTCTCTCAGCATAGTGCAGGTTCAAGTGCTACGCAGATAAAAGCAAAAATGCCATCGGCTATAAAAATAATCACTTGTAGGGTCATAAAAAAACAAGAACAATGCGCCATAACGTCTTGCTTGCGAAAGATTCTGCATGGTGTACAATCTGTATTGTTTATAAGTCTTACAGGGGAAATGGCAACTTAAAGGTACAGAACATCAGTTAATAAAATCCTTAGAAAATCTCTATTGTATAAACGAAAAAAAGTCTCAAAAGATTATCCACTTTGATCTCTTTATAATATATCATTTAAAATGATTAAAGGACCTAAATTTGAAATATATTTTATGTCATGTATAAAAATGGTGCTGCTCTAAGTGCAAGCCATTAAGCTCACGACACAACAGTGATAAGTGGGGCTGACTGTAGTAATATGCAGTCACATGTTTTTTGTTTTTTTTTGTGCACCCACTGCTTAAAGGACCACTATAGTGCCAGGAAAACATACTCGTTTTCCTGGCACTATAGTGCCCTGAGGGTGCCCCCACCCTCAGGGACCCCCTCCCGCCCGGCTCTGGAAGGGGAAAGGGGTAAAAACTTACCTTTTTCCAGCGCTGGGCGGGGAGCTCTCCTCCTCAGTCTCCTCCTCCTCCCCGGGCTGAATGCGCACGCGCGGCAAGAGCTGCGCGCGCATTCAGCCGGTCACATAGGAAAGCATTCATAATGCTTTCCTATGGACGCTGCGTGCTCTCACTGTGAAAATCACAGTGAGAAGCACGCAAGCGCCTCTAGTGGCTGTCAATGAGACAGCCACTAGAGGAAATAGGGGAAGGCTTAACCCATTCATAAACATAGCAGTTTCTCTGAAACTGCTATGTTTATGAAAAAATGGGTTAAACCTAGCTGGACCTGGCACCCAGACCACTTCATTAAGCTGAAGTGGTCTGGGTGCCTAGAGTGGTCCTTTAAGTGGCTGATATGCCCCCTACTAAGCCACCTGCCTTCTACTCGATCCATACTTCCCAGTGTCAGGAAATATGCTTTATCCCTACACATATGTCTAAGTTTGTCTAAGTCAATGGCGGCGAGAGTAGGGGACAGGGCAAGTGTTTGTAGCCTATCATTGCTAAAGGTCACACCAAAAATTATGTATAAAAATTGAAAAATGATGATCAGTAACTGGTCTTGAAATTCCCTTCAACTTTATCACTCAAATTTTCAGTACCCAGAGCTGACATTTCAATCCCCCATCATCACTTTATTTCAAGGTTATCCGTATATTGAGGAGCACGTCACAGACTGCTTGTGCTATATAGTCTTGTTTGGAACTATCGGTAGCTTGACAGATTGCTAATGTCACATGAGAAAACCACATGTTTACATTTCAGAAGTTAAAGCGTTAAAGAAGATAAAGAGATCGCTTTCTCAGAGCCCGTGTGGTTTGTTACCATGATTTCAAACCATTACTTATATTGATTTTTGCAATTAATGACATTTTTCCTATTAATCTTCTGATGGGCAACTGTTTTCTGTTGCCCCATCCCACCCCGTACAAAATTTGCAGATTTGGAATGCTTCAACCATTATTATAAGAAGCCTTATTACAAATGATATCATTCTAGTTCTTTCAAAATGTGGTGTAAACATAATAGTTTAGAAACATGGATGCTTCATTGTACAGCACTACAAACCAGATTTTTGTTAAAAAAAAAAAAAAAATCTGCAAGTGGTTTATTGCAAATTAAAGTGAATTTCACACTTTTAGGGGAAGTAATAGATAAACCAATCATGATTTGCTTTACTACTCATTCTTAATACATTCCTTTAACCCCTTAAGGACACATGTCATGACTCCCTTTTATTCCAGAAATTTGGTCCTTAAAGGACCACTATAGTGCCAGGAAAACATACTCGTTTTCCTGGCACTATAGTGCCCTGAGGGTGCCCCCACCCTCAGGGTCCCCCTCCCGCCGGGCTCTGGGTAGAGGAAGGGGTTAAACTTACCTCTTTCTCCAGCGCCGGGATGGGAGCTCTCCTCCTCCTCTCCTCCCTCTTCTCCTCCTCTTCGGCTGAATGCGCACGCGCGGCAAGAGCCGCGCGCACATTCAGCCAGTTCATAGGAAAGCATTCACAGTGAGAAGCACACAAGCGCCTCTAGCTTCAAGAGACAGCCACTGGAGGCTGGATTAACCCATTTATATACATAACAGTTTCACTGAAACTGCTATGTTTATAAAAAAGCTGGACCTGGCACCCAGACCACTTAACTAAGCTGAAGTGGTCTGGGTGCCTATAGTGGTCCTTTAAGGGGTTAAAGCTATTTTGCCAGTATCCTGTACAAGATAGAGGGGGCACTTGGGCATAAAGCTGACATGGCGGTTTGCCCGTGATTTATTTTGAACACTGGTGATGCTTACTGTGGCTGTAAAAGGACCACATCATCCAGATACGCAATTCTCCTCAATGGGTAGCAAAGCCCTGGAATAACTACCTTGAGCATGTTTAAATACTTGAGCTAGTACCCTGAAAAGGGACACACAAAAATCAACAAAATAACAGGATCCCGGGATAGAGATCTAAACTCGTGACTGTTCCAGAAGAATCAGGTCATTTAACAGGTATGCTGCATCAACAATGTTGGCTGCCACAGCTCAGACAAAAAAATGTCTTTGCTGGGGCAAGTAGGGTCTCGGCTAATCCTTATTAAAAACTAATTGTACATACATACTCCCTAAGTGCCTTGGCACATTTACTTCTGCTCTTGCTTGTGTTTACTCACGGCCCAGCAAAGAACTGTACAAAGCGACGTCACATGTTTAACAAAACAACAATTAACAAGCAATGAACTCAGCGATTCCCATCACTAAGTACATAGAAAATTGAAAAGAGTTCTTTTGTTGGCAAATATATGCTTAATGTGAAGCCTTTATGGTAGCTTTAATAGGACAGCTGTTTCAATGGAGTATCAAAGGTTATTTAAACTGCCTGCTTATTAACGTAAATCAAGAACTATTGAAAAACACCCAACCTTAGGATGCATGTAAGAAAACAATAAATATTAATAATAGAAAAACAATATAAAGGTGTATGCTTACTTTAGCAGACTTGGTCCTCTCTCCGTTCGGTTGCCTGTACCCCTTGTTTGTTTCCCAAACGTAAGACTTGTTTCCCATTTATATACCTACCGAACACCAACCACCCCCTGGCTCATTAACTTCAAACAAGCTCATTATCTCCATTAACTCAAATGCTCTCTCTGGGTGGCCACCATTCGTATGACCAAACGCACATGCTTTACAAAATGGGCGGCCATTTTGTCTCCCGAATGCAGGCAGCAGTACCTGGTTATCGAACGCCTGGAATTATTTTCGAATACCCTACCTCGCAATCCCTGGGAAAACTGTACCGTTGCCTGACAAAGCCCAAACAAGCCAAGAGAGCGCTCTTGGGGTAAAAGACACGTTCAACTGGGGGGGAGCATTTTCCCTCTAAGAGCCATGGGGAGCATTCATTAATATTCAAACAGGAAAATTGACCGGCCGCTGCCTCTTTCGACCTCTAACTATTTTGGGCTTCATCTACGTGGGTGGCCAAAACCTTACCCCGATAGCGATTCCCCTAAGCTGGATGGATCTGAGCTCTCTTTGGACAACTTGGGTGTTCAGATCCGGGCTATTTGGGGATATAAGACGTGGGGTTCCTGTGCAATTTCACTGTGATTTGGGGAGTTTTGTATATATTTTTTTGTGTGGTTCCTTGTAATTGAGAGATAATTGAGTTACTGGTCTTTGATTCAATTATCTCCCAGACACAGGGACGCCTGGGAGGGGCTTGTGCTATATTGAATGGAGACCCCATGCATAAAAGGCAGCGTTTGACACAATAAATATCAGTTGTACTCCCAGAACTGTGTGTCGTCCAGTTAGTGGGGAGGGATAGAGCTATTCACTTTGCAGCGTCTTGTTCCAAAGTTCCTAAGGATTCGGTGGAGAAAAGTCCTTGTCAGGACTAGAGCTTCGCTACACTTACTAAACAGTGAGGTATAGGGAATTGAAGAACATATTGCAAAACATAGGTCAACATAGACGAAATAGACGAATATTGGAAGGATACATTCTGCATATTAATTGGTAATACGTCCTAAAAGGACATTTCAGCCTATTTATTTATAAAGAAATAGCACAAACAACTGTGTATGATGTAAATAACTTGATATTTATTTTTCTTTTACTTGTCTTGGATGGAAAGTTACCTACAAAATATTATAAATAAGCACGCAAACAAGTAGTCACTGTTGTTAGTTCCTGGTTTAAAACGGGTTCTGCTACATTCCAACGCCATTTGTTTATATCTCAGAAGTCTTGTGATGATTACCCCCATTGTTTGAACAGCAGACAATATGTTTTTCTTTTCATGTACCAATACCATATCCTCATAACATCTAGGTGCTGTCTGGCTATAGCCTGTCCCCTGTTAATGTCTCTGCATAAATTGCAGAATATTTAACAATCTTTATTTATAATTTTGACACGTACAAAGAGCTAGAGACAAAAGAAAAAAAAAAACAGCAAGCCTATAATGACGGCTAAACTGTACCAAGAACCACGAACCCTGATTTACAGAATAATATGTAGAAGTGATTAACAAATATTTCACAGGAGACTTGTATGGATTGCACGACAAGGCTGATATAACATTTACTGCGGTGGCTTGATGAGAATTGCAAATCCAATAAGAAAGTTAAAGGAACATTATAGAGTCAGGAACACAAACATGAATGCACAACCCACCCCTTAGCCCCCTTAAAAGTTAATATAACTCACCTTGTTTCCAGCGCTGCTTGGCTCCGCTGGCGCTGGTCCTGCCCCATTGGTGACATCATCAGAATTGCCTATTCTTAGCATAGGGGAAACATTGTATTGGCTAAAATTGGCATGGGGCGTGGCCTTTTCTCAGAAAAGGCAGTGTTTGCATGAAAATGCCTAAAGGCAATGATTATAGTCACCAGAACAACTACATTAAGCTGTAGTTATTCTGGGGACTATAGTGTCCCTTTAAGTTATTTGTTTTGGAACACTGTAGTAAAGAAAAAAAAAATAGTAAAAATGTTATGCAAACAGCTAATTATATTTTCAAAACAAAAGATTTGCTGAGCCACTAATGGCTATTTATATGTAAATATAATTTTACAGAAAATTTAAAAATGAATTGTTATCCAATTAATGTATAACCATTATCAATGTCTGTTATATATTTCTCACTTAGAAAATCCCATTGTTTTCAAAAGTCTACCCAGTTATTGAAAGGGAGGCCCATGTTTAGTTTTAGGTTAAATATCCTAGCTATGGTTGTGGGAGTTGGAATCCAACGACATGTAGAAAATGACATAAATGTACAAAAAGGCCGCACTTTTATCTCGCCCCTTTCCTAATGAGGAAATTATGAATATCCTTGGTATGAAACATGCTTGTCCAAAGAGCATTATGGGAAATGTAGTTAGCAAACATTTGCAGAGTTGAACCAAATCAGAACCAAATTACACAGGTTCCTCCTGTCTGATTAAAGGACAACTAAAACATGTTTGCAGGAACAATTAAAGGGGATTTTTATTTTTTAAGCTACCCTATATCCAACTAAAAGCAAATGTATTGTGCAATTATTATCTGAATTTACATTGTATACCAGGCTGTCCTGGCACAACCAAGGCATATATTTTAAATTAATCTCCATGGTCCTATATGTGAATGGTACTTTGGAGGTCATGCCTGAAAGTGTATGTGCTTATTTTGCATTTTCTAATCAGATGCCTAAGCAAGCGTGAAAACATCTGGAGATCATGTACCAATGACTTCACTTCATTTTCTAGGCTGAGGGGATAAGAAGAATGTGTCTGAGGAATATTAGTTTATTTAGGAGCATTGACTAAGCTATACAGTTTACTTTTAGTTTAGTTTACTGTAGCCCCTCTGGCCTCCCTAAATATGGTACAATTTTACTTCTATTCAAGTCTGCAGCTGCTGCCCCTGATCTGCCTGCTTGGCTGACATCACCAGAAGTGATTCTCTGAGCCAATCACAATGCGTTCCCATAGGATTGGCTGAGACTGTCAAGGAGGCAGATCAGGGGCAGAGCCAAACACAGCCCTGGCCAATCAGCATCTTCTGAGGGTGTCAGTCACACTGTGCAGCACTGCCCCAGGAATCACCTCCAGCTTCAATCTGAGGAGTGGTCAGTGGCCTTATCACTTGGCTGTAATGTAAACACTTCATTTTCTCTGAAAAGACAGTGTATGCTGCAAAAATCCTGAAGGGAATGATTCTACTCACCATAACAAATATAATAAGCTGTAGTTGTTCTGTTGACTATAATGTCCTTTATTTCTATAAGAGAAACCTGTTTTAAGTTACTAATGGCTAAACTTCCCCATTGTCTGTCTGCTGGGGTTATGTCACTGTGTGTTCATTCTTATATTATTATTTATGAAACACGATAATAAGGGAATACTCCTATGATGATATGAATAATTTGCATGTAGAACTGCGGTGTGATGTCGCACTGGGGAATTTAAGTGTTTTAATACCCGTTCAGTCTTTCTGTCTCTTGCAACATGGCTTCCACTCTCTCTCACCAGTTTTCCTTTCTTTGACAGTATATGAAGAGATGGATGGACGTTGACACCAGATATTATTACAGATGTTGGTACTATAATCTGAACGTGACTCGCCCCGAAGGCCGCCTTATCCTGAACATCAACGAGCTCTACAACTGGCAGACCGGTCCTTACCGTTGTATAAGCAAGACCAATATGACCGATGATATCATCATGTCAGAAAACTTCTCCATACCGGTGACCTGTGAGTAACCAGCACAAGTAAACATTTTAACACACTGCTACTGGGACTAGTCACTTCACAAACTAAGTAATCATAGACAAGCTATTGTGACAAGAATGTTGCAGCCCGTCTGTAAAACTTAGTGACTGTTTAGTGACTGAGTGACTGACCCTAAATTATTTATTTGTGCACTAGGCAATAATGTGTGTATTTTGTCCTCGTCACTGGGAGGCATTAAAGTGGGATGGATTCATGGCAGCAGATATTACGCACTCAAACATAAAAATACGTATAAACACATTCAAATACACTCTTTTATTATTTATTTATAATTTATTTATAAAATATTTTATCAAGAAAGATACATGGAGATTTCTCTCGTTTTCAAGTATGTCCTGGGTCCACAAAACCTTGCATTTATACATTAGGGTAATAAAATACAAAAACAATGTTAATACACAATATATACAAAATGTAACATAGAACAGGTAGGAAATATATAATCAACCATGACACGTGCTTTCTGTTTTGAGATATGTAGAGATTGATCTCTTAAAGGACTTTAGGCTTGGGGAAGATTTGAAAGTGTGCGGGAGGTCGTTCCATAATTGTGGTGCTCTGTAGGAAAAGGAGGATCGAGCCGCTTTCTTTTTGTATTGAGGTAGACTAAATAAATAAAGTACTGGTACTGGATCAGAGGTTATAAGAAGTGGGAACAGCCAGGGAGAGCATTCTGCTCAGGTAGGGTGGGAGCTTCCCAGTAAAGCTCTTAAACACAAGGCTGGAAAGATGAAGGGTGCGTCTGGATTCCAGCGACAGCCAGTTTAGTTTTTAGCATGTCACAATGGTGGGTCCTGTAATAACATTGTAGCACAAATCGGCAAAACGAGTTATACAATGTGTTGAGTTTATTAAGGTGGGTTTGCGGTGCAGGTGCATATCCTACATCCCCATAATCAATGATTGACATCAGCATTTGCTGTACAATCTTTTCCTTTACTGTAGGGCTTAGGCAGAATTTGTTTCTGTACAGGGCACCTAGTTCTGGATAAAGTTTAGATGCAAGTTTTTCTATGTGGAGGCCAAAAGATAGATTGGGGTCTAACAACATACCCAAGTATTTGAATGAGTGGACTGTGGACTCTCACACAGACACTCACTCACACATACAGATACACAAAGGCACACACTCATATATGCAGAGAGTTGGTGCAATTCTTTTTTAATTCACTATAGTTTGGTGTGCAGTGAATAAACTGCTGTTTGCCACAGTGCCCTAGTCATTTATTCTCCATTGTAGTTGATGATTTTTATAAAGTGTCACAAATGGAGTATGGTGCAAGCAATACAATCAAACAAAGTGCTTGAACTATATATTTGCTTGCACTTCTGGAACACTTTGGAGATAAGGTCTCCTCGAGTTAGTCACTGAATTAAGAATTGTGCAGAATTGACAGAATAAACTGCATATTGTACTCCAAAAGTTTTCCACAGTTCACAATTTAGTGAATGAGCCCCACCGTTTAGTGAATCAATGTCCTGATTCTCATTCTCCGGTCAGTATGTTTTATATGATGGTCTTTAAATTTTATGACAGGTGTTTCAAATAACCATTTAAACTTCCCCTTGCAAATAATGCATGATTTTAGCAAGAAAATGCAGGTCTTGATATATCAGTGATTTATAGGGCAATACAAATATGTGTGTTCTAACATTCCTTTAATTGTGGGCCCATAATATTTACTGTAATATTTGTTTTATTCCAATTAGTTTTCCCTTTATAAACAGTAGCAAATTAGATACAAATTAGATTTGACTGCTATATAAATATATTCTATAGACTTCTATAATCAGAGCATTTGTAAGTTAAATGCGTTTTATTGGACCAAATCCACCGATAAATAGAACTCACCTGATTTATCCTGGCAGTTACAATGATCCTTCCAATCTATCTAATTGAGGATTAGAGTACGTTTTCCTGTAGCAGAATTCGCTCATTCGCAGGCTCTCATTGTATTTCAGATCAGATATTTCATCTTTCAGTGAAAGGGAAGAGAGGATTCAGAGGATGTGATCATCTGAATAATGAGATAAATTTAAAAGACTCTCCAAGCACCATAACCACTTATGATCCTTGAATAGGTTATAGGATAAGGGGCTTGCCTGTTCCTACGCCCCTTCTTTGTATTTAACATTACATAGTGATTTAAAGAAATGTCTGCAGCTATATGCTCACCTTAACTATGGCCTCGATTTAATTATTTTGGAACTTTTAAAATGATTACAATTTGTTAGAAACATTTGTCAAATGATGTAGTCACTATTAAAGCCCATGGAAAATGTTGTAGATAAATGATTTAGTAACTCTGTTTAACAGATTAACAATCGAAAAGTTTATCCAAAAAAGTGAAATTGAGGCCATGGTTCCTGCGCACCCATACACGATCTTGTATGATCTGTGCACCTGTGGTTAGTCACTACTTTCCTGACTGGACATTGGCAGATGCAAAGGGGCACAGTCTCTGGGCAATAGGGACAAGATTGTCAGGCGCATAAAAATACACAAGACAAAGTAGTCCCTACTTTGCCTTGTGTTTTAAAGAGAAATAGATGAGTAAGAAAAGAAGAACAGATTCTGAAAGAAAAAAGTGGAAACAATACGTGAATGGTAGGTTTGAGGTGACAAAGCCAGTTTAAGTGGGATGTTAGGAGATAAGTACCAGGAGCCTTGGACAGTGTCTTCTGTAGTCTAGTCAGCTTCAGTATGAGAGCTGCAGGAACAGTTATAGAGGGTGTAAAACTCTGTGTTGTCCCAGCTCCTCCATTGTCTGTGTGTGAAGCTGGACAGGACATGGAAGGGTTCACTGCCCACCTGCTACTAACAGCCTCTCATACAGGAAATGCATTGCAGGAGGAGCAGGGTATGCTCTGAGTGGTGCACACTGTATAACAACCACTGCATCTCTGTCATCAATCATAGGAGGATGACGGGACTACAAAACACATAGGTGGGTGAGCACTTTGTACATAACCCTTCAAACTCCACGTGACAGGAACACCCTTTTTCCTAATCCTACATTACACCCCCTATGTACCCCAATACTACAAAATGTATCCCCACTCTAACACTAAATCCAAAAACACTACACAACTCATTTGCCACAACTGTAACCTCTCTCTCACATGTAATACTTTTAGCACCCTATGTAATCTAACTCTAAAATGAACCACTCTGCAACCTTAAACTTAAATCTTCCTTGACTATAGCCACTTCTAACATAATCTATAATCCTCTATGCATTTACACAGCTGCATACACTCACTCGCAGATTCAACCACAATACAAGTATTCAAATGTCAAATATGAAAACGGGAAAAATAATATGCCTGCCGTGTCCAGTTATTAAATTTAATAAAGTAACTTTATCAGCCTTTTTTCTTGGTGTGGAGGAGGGAGACAAGGACAGGGGGTGCCGTAGAATTCTATGCCTACAGGCACCTGACATGTAAATCCAGCCCTGCCTTTAAGACAGTTCTAGGACAGAGAACGGCGCTTGTTTGATATTACAATCTACATGCATTATGTCTTGGGGATTCCAAAGCCATGATTATATTATTATTATTATTGGCATTTATACAGTGCCAACTTATTCCGTAGAACTTTTTTAATATTATAAAGAAATAAATTTAACAACAAATGAGATAATTACAATATGTTACTGGAACAATGGGTTGATGAGGACCCTGCTCAAATGAGCTTACAATCTTCGCTGCCTTCGCCCTAGATATGCATGACATATACTTCCAACAAACCGATTCCTGGCAACTCAGTACTTCATCGGATGTTCTGTATGTCGAAGAAGGTTCTGATCTGAAGATTAAATGCACAGCTCCTGCTTCATCAGAACCAGAATATATGTGGACTCGGGAGGTAAGAGAAATTGTGATGTTTCTTACGTCTGTTACTTCGTATCTATCATCTCTGTAAACAGAGCTACATTTAATGCCTCAACAAATTCAGATTCAGATATATTCATCAGTGTTTCACCTCTTTTTGTCAAAATTGTTGTTGTTGTTTTTTTGGAAAAAAAAAACAAAGAAAAAAGTTACCTGCGCTCTTCCCAAATCCCTATGTATATTTAAACAAATGGAGGTTATTTAGTTTCTCCAATGGCCATGAGACTGTAGCCCACCTGCTATGCCAAAGCAGACCTCTCAGGCGGGTCCAGCACTAGCCTTTCACCTTACTTCCTTGAGCTTCTGGAAAGATATCTCTAGAGACAAAGATGGGTATTTTTTTATATATACCCCTACATGCTTATTAACCCCTAATATGGAACACACAGGATGGGCGGCATCATTGTAACATGGCAATGTGTTACAAATGTGAATACAAATACAAAGAAACAAGTCCTGCGCTCACTCCCATCAGTCCTGGGCGGCAGCAACGATAATGTATGTATTGGGACCCATGTGTACTATGGTCATTGCTGCCGCCCAGGAGTGATGGGAGTTTGAGCTCTATTAAATCTTGCAGATATTTTCCATCTTGTGCTGTTGTTTTTTTAATGTTTAACTTTTTTTTGACAATGCAAATGATTTTTTTCATCTTTTTTTTTTCTTCCACGAAAGTTTTCTGTTTCACTTCTCTTATTTGTACCACTTTACTTTTGGCAGTATTTTTGAAAATGTAAGAAAAAAATGCATTTTCAGGCAATTTTTAGAATAATTTAATGAATAATTGCAGATTAGAGACTAAAAAAATGGAAAAACAAAAAAACATTGTGCGGAGAGATTTAGTAAGATTTTGCAACCTCTTCTGTTCTAAAAAGTGGTCTGAAGTACTAAAACTGGGGCAATCGCCATGGAAACTAGTGGACTCCACATTTACATTCTATTATTAGAACTGAACACTTGCATGAATCTTTCCAATGGTTCCATGTTGAATAATACGCTGGAAGATATGTGTGAAAAATATCGCAAGACGTGTTTATTTTCCATGTTAAGATTTCAATATGAAGCAAATAATGAGAATGGCGAAACAGGGATACATATTGTAATTGGCCTATTTGTGAATGTGGGACTCTGCACAATAGTTCCCCATACACATTGCACAATGCACATTTTCTTACATGCAATAAAAGCAATTATTTTAATATACTGCAGCACAATGCTCTCTACTCGTATTATTTTCTCACACTGTGTTTCAGTTGAAGGTAGAGCAGTGTTCTGACTGTCTGTCTTGTTCAAGCCAATTAGAACATAGCTAATGGCCGTCTCCTGTATGCTGTAAAATAAAAAAAATAAAAAAAAACTTTCTGCGGTATTGAAAGTAAGCATTCACACGTGCTATAACGTTTCATAATACATTGAACTTGTGGAAGTTTATTCATGAACCCAATTCGTGGACCTTGGGCTAGTAATCTTCTTACAGTGTATAATAACATTTCTGATTTCAACTTGTGGTCCCAGTGTTACTTAGAGAAATTCCGTTTGGTCAGAATGCATAACTGTGTGGCTAAACATGTCTGACCACCTTTTGTGGCAAAAACTAGAGAAAGGACAGATTAGAATTATGAAATGTTATCTCTCTGCAGTCCTATGACATCAGAACACTGGAAGACACCTTGGTCCTTGAGAATGTTGGAGTGGAGGATTCTGGGAACTATACCTGCAAGGCTCAAAGTCTGGGCTACTATAACCTTGTGAAGTCAAAAAGCTTTCAGCTGCGTGTTATGCCCTTTCAGTCCAGGATTAAGTTACATTCATATGGTAAGTGGCAAGTGATGTGGACTGATATACCGGCAAGTGGTCCGGATATAATATGTAGTCTGCAGATATTCCTAAACCACTTGCCGGACAAAACGACAACGTAACATTTTTAACAGGTTTTCAGTAAGTTGTTGCAGACACTCCAAAATATCTGTATTCTCTATGAATAATTGGGGCGAAGCGTGATGTTTCTTCAGACAGGAGAAAGTTTAATGCCCATAGGCATTGAGTTATGTGTGTATTGATGATCCAGTGAAACTAATTAGTAATGTTTTATCTTTTGGTTACATTGTGCATGTTACAGTTTAGGATATATTGTCTGTCTGTTGGTTTTGGAAGAGACCCTCTATATCCAGAAAATCGGTGTCTACTTTTTCTCAGTCCTGATACACACTGTATGTATGTTTGTTCTCAGTGTGTCCCTCTGTATCCTGATATTCAGGGTCTGTCTCTGAGAGAGTGCCTCTATATCCTGATACACCATGTCCGTCTCAGAGTCCCTCTTTATCCCTGTATCCTGATCCTCTGTGTCTGTCTCTGAGAGTGCCTCTATATCCTGATACACCATGTCCGTCTCAGAGTCCCTCTTTATCCCTGTATCCTGTTACTTTGTGTCTGTCTCTCAGAGAGTCCCTCTATATCCTGATACTCTGTGTCTGTCTCTCAGAGAGTCCTTCTATATCATGATACTCTGTGTCTGTCTCTCAGAGAGTCTCTCTATATCCTGATACTGTGTCTGTCTCTCAGAGAGTCCCTCTATATCCTGATATTATGTGTCTGTCTCTTAGAGAGTCATTCTATATCCTGATACTCTGTGTCTGTCTTTCAGAGAGTACCTCTATATCCCTGTATCCTGATACTCTGTGTCTGTCTTTCAGAGAGTCCCTCTATATCCTGATACTCTGTGTCTGTCTCTCAGAGAGTCCTTCTTAGTTAGATTAAAAACAAAAGAAGGAAGGTATGTAGAAGAGGATAAAGGTCTAGCTGACTGCCTCAATGAATATTTTTAGATGAAAATGAAGGAAAGGGACCTCAGTTGAGAAAAAGGATAAATGAGTCATTTATTACACGTGAGTTTACAGAGGAAGAGGTTCTATTTCAACTGTCAAAAGTAAAGACAAATAAGTCAATGGGACCTGATGGAATACACCCAAAGCTATTAAAAGAGCTTAGTGGTGTACTAGCAAAACCATTAACAGATTTATTTAACCAATCATTGTTAACAGGAGTAGTCCCAGAAGATTGGAAGTTAGCGAATGTTGTGCCCATTTACAAGAAAGGTAATAGGGAGGAGTCGGGCAACTATAGGCCAGTAAGCCTTACTTCAGTAGTGGGGAAAGTGATGGAAACCATGTTAAAGGATAGGATTGATGAACATCTAAAAACACATGGATTTCAAGATCAGAGACAACATGGGTTTACTTCAGGGAGATCATGCCAAACTAATCTTATTGATTTTTTTGATTGGGTAACTAACATTATAGATCAGGGTGGTGCAGTAGACATTGCTTACCTAGATTTCAGTAAGGCTTTTGACACTGTTGCACATAGAAGGCTTATCAATAAACTGCAATCTTTAAGTTTGGATTCCAATATTGTTGAATGGGTAAGGCAGTGGCTGAGTGACAGGCAACAGAGGGTTGTAGTTAATGGAATATATTCGAAGCTTGGACTTGTCACCAGTGGGGTACCTCAGGGATCTGTACTTGGACCCATTCTCTTTAATATTTTTATTAGTGATATTGCAGAAGGTCTTGATGGTAAGGTATGTCTTTTTGCTGATGATACTAAGATATGTAACAGGGTTGATGTTCCAGGAGGGATAAGCCAAATGGCAAATGATTTAGGTAAACTAGAAAAATGATCAGAATTGTGGCAACTGACATTTAATGTGGATAAGTGCAAGATAATGCATCTTGGACGTAAAAACCCAAGGGCAGAGTACAGAATATTTGATAGAGTCCTAACCTCAACATATGATTTAGGGGTGATTATTTCTGATGACTTAAAGGTAGGCAGACAATGTAATAGAGCAGCAGGAAATGCTAGCAGAATGCTTGGTTGTATAGGGAGAGGTATTAGCAGTAGAAAGAGGGAAGTGCTCATGCCATTGTACAAAACACTGGTGAGACCTCACTTGGAGTATTGTACACAGTACTGGAAACCGTATCTTCAGAAGGATATTGATACCTTAGAGAGGGTTCAGAGAAGGGCTACTAAACTGGTTCATGGATTGCGGGATAAAACTTATCAGGAAAGGTTAAAGGATCTTAACATGTATAGCTTGGAGGAAAGACGAGACAGGGGGGATATGATAGAAACATTTAAATATATAAAGGGAATCAACACAGTAAAGGAGGAGACTATATTTAAAAGAAGAAAAACTACCACAACAAGAGGACATAGTCTTAAATTAGAGGGACAAAGGTTTAAAAATAATATCAGGAAGTATTACTTTACTGAGAGGGTAGTGGATGCATGGAATAGCCTTCCAGCTGAAGTGGTAGAGGTTAACACAGTAAAGGAGTTTATGCATGCGTGGGATAGGCATAAGGCTATCCTAACTATAAGATAAGACTAGGGACTAATGAAAGTATTTAGAAAATTGGGCAGACTAGATGGGCCGAATGGTTCTTATCTGCTGTCACATTCTATGTTTCTATGTTTCTTCTATATCCTGATACTCTGTGTCTGTCTCTCAGAGAGTCCCTCTATATCCTGATACTCTGTGTCTGTCTCTCAGAGAATACCTCTAGATCCTTAGACTCTCTGTCTGATGGTTCACAGAGAGTCCCTTTGTATCCTATGACTCCGTGTCTTACTATTAGTTGTCGGAGAGTTCCCCTTGTATTTTGAGTTGAGTCCTTCTCTGTCTGGTGTTGAAGATACCTTGTCCTAATCTGAGCATCTGTGTTTGTTGATGTCAATTATGTTCTATTGTCTTTTAAAAGTCAACGTGTGGCTGTCTAATTTTCAGGCGACTTCAGTTTCCCACACATTCTGCTGTACGTTGCTATCCCGGCTGGGCTGATGCTGATCGCCCTGCTGACTGTATTCGTCTTTGTTGCTCGTCGCCATAAGAATAATCAGAAAAAGCCACAGATCAGCCTGTAAGTATCCTGCCAGCCATCTGTCTGTATCTAAAAATGCCACATTACATTCACTGAATACCAGATTATGTTTGTCACTGTCATGGACCCAAGTCTTGTCAAATGTACATGGCACATTCAAGCATCCATCATTGTAGTAAAACTTTAGTCAGACAAAAAACTCAAATATGCCCGTTTACCATATCTGAGATTAGACGGCCTCTGTAAAATAGAGTTTATATGATCACAAAAAATATATAAAGCTTAAATATTTAATGATGTCACTGGGGTTTATTCCCCAAACATGAATTTTGATTAATTAAGACTAGCACTTGATATAGACTGTGATAGGCTGAAAGTTGTCAGCTGACACTCTCAGCCAATTACAGCCACCCATTGCTGCTTCAGCTAATGCTTGCTCATTAGCGTAAGCAGCACAGAGAGGAAGAGTGGCTGGGGACTCAGTGAAAAAAACGGTTTAATGCTGGTGTGGAGACGAACTTCCGAGCTGAGCGGTCGCATCCACCGCGAGCTCCGCAATACCAAGCACACATTGCCCGCAGCAATCTCTCGATTTGTTGCACGAAACTAATACCCCAGTCGAGGTGAAAGTAGCACGGGTCACAAGACAAAAAAACTAAAAGCTGACAAGCCTCAGATGGGCTTAACCCCTTAAGGACCAAACTTCTGGAATAAAAGGGAATCATGACATGTCACACATGTCATGTGTCCTTAAGGGGTTAAACATCGGCGATATGTGGAGACAGGCGCATGGCATAGCTGGGCCCAAGATGACCGCTTACCCCGACACGAACCCTGAGCTGTCAGAAGACCTGTCCCTCGAGGGGGAGATGGAGGAAATACCCACCACAAGTCCACCCCCTCCGGCCCCACTGAATCCAAGACACATCTTCGGTGACCACTGCTGTTCTGAAGGAACTACTTGCCGACCTCCAGAAAAATATGCTCACTGACATTAGAGCAGATTTACAAGGCCTTAAAGGCCGGATTGGGGATCTTGAGACTGCCTCTAACACCAACAGACAACAGATAACCATGCTACAGCAGGCAGTACAAAAGCTGCAGCAACAATAGGAATCCTATGATCGGCATTTCTCAATGTTGGAAGATATCAGACACAGAAACCACTTGAAAATAAGAGGCAGTCCAGAGGACATTCCAGCGGCAGAAATACCCCATCTTCTGCAGCGCCTAATGCAGGCTCATCTTCACCCGAAGCAGGCAAAAGAGGTGAGGCTGGATGGTCATTTCAGAGTACTAAAATCACAGAGAGCCCCTGCTGTGGTACCACGAGACCTAGTGGTTCAAGTTCAACACAGCAGAGACAAAGCTGCGTTGCTGGCTGCAGTGAAGGGAAGTACGCCCTACAACTTTGAGACAATGTCTCTGACTTTCTACACTGATATCTCGGGCGGCACGCTGGCAAGGAGACGCACCCTTTAACCATTTACCTCTGCTACGGAAAAATGGAATACCGCTGGAACATATCCCGCACACTGCAGGTACTCCAAGATGGCGACAAGCACATAGTCACAGATCTGCGAGAGGCAACAACATTACGACCAGTTTTGGGACTTTCTCAGGACTCTATGCCAGAACCTGGGCCAGCGAAAGCACCGCAGAGATAGAACCCGGAAACAGTGACGGAGTTTGTCTTGTGGCAACCCTCTAAGGCTGCATATGCTGCGAACACAACTTGAATACCCACGTGGATAATGTTTAGTTTAAAAAAGTTAATGTTTTACAGTTTCACTCACGCAATGTTTAGTACATACTACACCCCTTACCAGCTCGGACGGCCAACTAAACCCCTCTCCCCCTCCACATACTAGACTTACCTTGCTGATACTCCTTAACTAGGCATAAATTTCCTCACCACTTGTCTCAAGATGTTGTGGGTGAAGGTGTAGTGGGCAAGCCCAGTGCAAGCACTCCATGATTGGCAGCTACACTTCACTGACGAGTCAACTTCAGATGACAGTAAGAGACACGTCTTGATGCCTATGACATCTCTCATACATAATTTTCATTGGGGGGGGATGGCATTCAACTTTTGGTAACATCCTTACTACTGGATAAGCTTTACCCCCATTCAGCACACAGCATCTTATACGCTTACTGGTCTTATCCCGCAATGGCTCTCTACACTACTTCCTTGAAACCAAACATTGACCAACACACTGAGACAATCGAGCTTCACGTAAGGCCAGACACGACTGATTACATAGTTGAATTGTACCTCTATAAAATATAAAACCCAATTCATGGGTTCATTTTTCAGGACGCTGCATTTAGATGTCTATGATTATGTCGGAATATTGCTACCTGACGTGTTCTTTGTACTTGCTTTATCGCACGAGTTGCGCAAAAATAAAGAATTAAAAAACAAACAAACAAAAAAACTGTGTAATGCTAAATGGAAGGACAGCTCCAGGAACCTCCAGTCACTATAACCACTTCAGTGAGAGGAAACAAATAAAGTACATGTGTCCCTCTAAACTCACACAGACTATCACAGGATAGTTTTATTAGCACAACAAATTTAGGTCATGCACTCTAGTGGTTATGGTACTTATAGTGCCCTGGCATCCCCCTTAATAAGTAGTTACACTATTTGCTAACGGTCCCCACTCTCTGCCTCTCCTGTTCCGGTATGAGAGACGAAAGTTCCTGATAGAAGCTATGCAGAGCCAGCTCATTGGCCGAGCTCAATGCAGAGCGTTTCTGGCTCTGCTAGCAACCAGTAACCCAGAAGCGTGGACATTGCTAAAGATTCTAATATACAGTGTAGCACATAAAATCATAAAATTGCTAAAACCAGCAGCAATCACTCAAATAAGTGACTTATAACATACAAAACCAAGAAATGGTGTTGCGCTAAATGATTATTCTCTATATATGGTTAATTGGTATATGCGTTCTGGTGAGATATATCAATTGACCATATATAGAAAATAATCATTTAGCGCAACACCATTTATATTAACAACCAGTTTGACTACTTACATTGGGGGGGAGGGATTCCTGAGCATTTCTGGCACCATAACCACTGCAGGGCGCTGTATATGGAACACGTGGTAAGAAGTAGTCACTAAAAATAATGCAGTTTAGAAGTCTGTGATAATAAGTGGTACTGTAAGTAAGAATATAATAAACAAAACTTCTATTACAAATTCTTTATACTATAGTATAGGCAAGCGAGCACTCACCCCACCAAGACCTACATTTATCTCTGTGTCCAGACCAGTTAGAGCCCATCTATCATATCGCAATCAGCATACAGTCGGAAATAGCTTATAGTTGTCTGCGGTTTTATTTTCAGTCTGTATTTGTGGGTTTAAATCTGACAGTATGTGTTCTTTTTCTAGGGTGTATGGTGAGAAATTTAGTCCAATCTACAAAGGCTGCGTGAAGCCAATCAATTCCAAAGAGCAAGACACCCAGCCACTTGTTGCCTAATGAATGCTCTGGCCAAGGTCAGTTTCCCAGCGTTTTTTTAAACTTATTTTTTAAAACTTTAACATTTTATTTTACAGATTATAAAGCAAATGTAGTAATGTCTCATACTGGTATAAAAAAAAAAAACCCCTAAATACTCACAGTCAGTATAACACAATTAGTGCAATAAGTAGAGCAAACACTACTGGAAATATACAACAACAAAACACAAACAGTGGCGGAAATTTAGCAAAGTTTCTGTTGTAAAAACTGGTGCAACAATGTAAAAGGGGAGGAGTCGCCAATAGAACATTGCTTATTGGTTCCACTGGTTTCCATGGTTATTGCCCCATTCTTAGAACTTTACACCACTGCTGAGAACAGAATACTTTGATAAACCTCCCAAACGCTCTATGTATATGCTTTTTATTAATGGGATATTTGAACTATTTAACTATCAAAGATCTAGTCCCAGAATTGTTATATCCAAATCCACTACCATCAGGCACTTCTCATCTCTTTAGTTGCATCCTCAGAAACATAGTGTGCGTGGTTGGGGGGGAGGGGGAGGAGGGGGGTGTTATGGGGAACATGTGGCTGATTTTGACTGGGTCACAGAATCAATGGCTCCATGTTTTAAAGCAGATTTCTTTGATTAATACATCCTCATCTGGGTAGTCTCTTTATTTATTGCCACCACACTTCCTGCATTATACCACAATCTAGATCTTTCTTCCAAGCTTGATGATTGTGGCATAGGCGAGGTCTTAGTGTATTTTTATACAAGTATTTAAATACCAGAACACTGTCACCTTATTTCATGGTAATTTAATAAAATGGTAAATGGTTTGAACCCCTACATAGCACAGCTCTGCAAATGATAAGAACTTGAAGAAGACTTCTCAAGAGTAAGCGTATTCCACCGCGCTGTGTAATGGGGAAACAAAACATGCCAGTAAATGATACCGATGATACTCACCCAGGTTTAGACAAATTAATCATCACAAGAAATGTAATTCAGAAATATCTGAGGGGCCAGAGGTTTACCGACTCTGATGTTGAGTTATAGTTACACACATTGTAAATGTAATGCAATGTATTTCTCGTGTAAGGGTTTATGGGATTACACACTTGAACTCGTAGGCCACTCTGTATTGTTATATTATATTATATTTTAGTGCAGGTGATAACTATTCAGCTTTCTATATTGTGATTTTGCATACATTTTCTTGAAGGCTGATTGTAAAAGCAAACTAAAATATTGGAAATGTGTGGAAGTAGGTGAAGAATAGCTGTACATATTATTTCATGGGCTATTTAAATCCACCCAAAAAAAAAATGGCCCCCATAAATCGTTGTTCCATTGCCCATCTAGCTAATTTCTCCCTAACCCTGCACTAGGTTTGACCTCTGTAGTTGGGACATGGCTTTGACGATTAACATACATCGATGGAATACTATTATTTGTTAAAGTCTGAGTCCACCACAACTTCCAAGGAACAAACTGATGACTAGAGGCAGATTCAGGCTTGTTCTGTGTTTTAATAGTAACTCTTTTATCTCTCTTCGAACAGGGCTGCACGGGACACGAAGCCTCTTCAGCTGGGACCAGGCCTTGTGTCCTGGCATTCACTATAACAATATGCTTTTATCTGGTGAAGGATATTCATGTAAAGCAAGATCTCCAAAGATTGATCATAAATTCTGTTCTGTTGTTATAAATCAGTGCAATCAATGTTTTTTAAAAAAAATGTAATAGAATCTTAGAATCATATGCCTGTACAACATATCTGATCACTGACATTGTTAGTAGCTAATACCAAAATGTCTGCTTCATCAATATGTATCATTTATCTTGTATTTCTGTTGGTTGGAGTGTACAGCTGTCAACATACAGTCCTTGTCTCTACAACCAACTTTGTTCAATCAAGAATTTGCTTTTCATTTTAGTTATGAACGTGGCTGTTATGTCCTTCTAATGAGCCGATAGTGCAAAACGGTGAGTGCTGAAGGTTGCCTCCCCCCGAGATAGTCTATAACCGTTTACTGTAACTCATCTTTTTTTATCGAATACGTTCAGCACTTTCAATTCATTACTAGGATATAACCCTCCTGCTCAGTTTAAGTTTCTATTTTTCCATTACTGAGATTTGTATATATAAGGACTGTAAAACCTGCTTTTAGGGAATAGATGCTTCTCTAAAACATGTATTTTAAGACTTTTTGTTTCTGTTTTTGCTTGTGGAATGGGAAAAAATATAATTCACAAGACCAGGATTCTGTTTACCTCTTGGATGTTGTCTGAAGGGCCATGAAATTATGTTGACGTTTGTTCCAAACTTCCTGTTTATGGATCGAGTGCCATGTGGTCAACGTTAGATTTAGTGTGCAGGTTAACAAAAGAAAATTTGTTTTGACAGCGGGCAGCGTATTATCTGTAGTTGTTAGAAATAATAAACTGTTAAGGTCAGATCTTCCATTAACTGGGGATCGTTGTACTTATGGATACCAGAATGAAATAGATGCACTGGGAGACAAGATGTTCTGCTAGTCTTTCTATGCTACATATCTCTAATGTTTCTAGGTGGAACCTCTGTTTGTTAGACTGTCAGGTGCTTCAATCCAAACCAACATAATTGTAAGTACTGCCCAGTAGTAGCTTAAAAACATAGCTTGAACTTGGAGGATTTTTCCAAATCAGCTATTTTAATTTAAAATAGACAAAATGACCAACAATTAACAGAACCATGAACGTCCCTAGAATCCCCCCCCCCCCCCAGTCCTCTGGATTTGCTGTTCAAGTGACTGGATTTCAGGGCTATGCAACCTTTGGCAGACGTTGTGGACTAGATTTCCTGGAATGCTTTATATAGCCAAGATGCTTGCAAAGCATCATGGGGGAGGTATCTTTGCTTCGTCTTTTGGGCCATTCTATAATAAAATGGATCTTTCACCCTGCACTGAGAAGCCTGTGGTTCTGTACTTCTGTTTCCAGAGCTACACCTAGCGCATCAAGTCACTCCTCGCAAAAATACTAACAAATTAAGTTAATATTTTAGTTTTTTTTTTTTTTTTACAAATTAAGTAGCAGATGATTGTTGTTTTAGCATTAGGTGTCTGCTTTCTGCCATTTACTTGTTTTTTAATGACTTGGTTATTTTTTTTTCTTATAGTTTTGTTAGTTGCACATTCATAAGACGTCTCTCATGAGAAATACAAGGTGATGCTTTGTAAAATACGATGTGTTATTTACAGTCTAATTGTGAAGACAACAGGAACATGAGTGTGTGGGTTAGGGCAATGTTTATTTTGTGTGATGCAGTTTTTTTTTCTTAAATAAACTCTATATTATACACACTTGAGGCCTGTATGTTGTCCATTAATCATCACCTCACTTAGACTAAGGCAACCCAGAAATTGCTTTAAATTGTTTAAATTCAGAAGTTAGGGAGGAGTACTTGGTCAAAATAATTAGTTTGGAAAAAAGTTTAGGAACACTTGTCTGAGTGTTACATGTATTACTAATCTGATCAGCCCACTGCACTCATAATATGACATTACCAATGGACTAAAATAGATATTTAATAAAAGTTAATGGAAACTAGAGTATTCTAATATAGGAAGCAGAATTTTAGAGGATAATGACTTAATAATGCCTACAAATCGTAACATTAAATTGGACACTCCACTGCCCAGATAAAAACAAAAATAAATATTTACCGTAGTTAAAATGCACTCAATAAAAATGTTTGCATTTAATTATGCAGTTTTTCATTGGGGTATAATTTAAACAGCTTGCAAAATAAGTCAATCACTTGCCGATCACTCTGTGGCCGTCCAATCTCAGACTTGCCAATGCTGCTCGATAAGAAGTCTTTGCAAGGTAGGTGCTCTGAGCAATTGCCGTCTCCTGATTTTCGCTAAACTGAACTAAACAAACCAGAAAGTAACAGGATCATTTGTCTGGTTGACAGCCAGGGTTAGGGGCACGCTCAGCTCAAATGCAAGGCACCCATGTAACAATTCCTCATAGGAGTCCACTACGCTAACACTCCTACTAAGCAATCCATAAGACTGGACCGATACTACAAGATTGCTTTGCACGGAACTCCCCACAGTGCCTTTGGCCCTCGATGGTTTGCTCCCAGTAGTGGACCACTGTTTAACACAAAACCCATGACTTCAACACTGTGTTCATACTCAGATATAGTTACCCCTCACCTCAGCCATGCTTACTGACTGATTAGGCTTACTCACCAACTGATAAATATTAGCTTACTCATGTTTATTAACAAAAAATCTGTACCGAGTCCTCGTATCACAATTTTGGCCACTCTAAAAAGCCGTTCTGTGCTATTGTGGCAACAATAGCATGAGGACACACTCTTCGCATATAGAGCACTTCAGCAAGCTAAAGTGTTTTAATTCCAGAGCAGTTGAAGTTGACATAATGTTGTGAATTCAGCAGAATTTTGCCTTGAAATTGGATGGAAGGCCTGTAGTAACCATAGATTTTAATTACATGACATTACAATTACTTTATGGCACAAGATATCCCGCTAGTGTGTGTTACTTACAGACTATAATCTCAATGCCTCTTGTTACAGTTGTATTCAATAAAAACAGTACAACAAAGTAACTAAACATGAACTTTATTTTTAATTTTTTTGCTGTTTTCTTATTAGTTTTTCTTTTTTCAATCTGACCGTTCTTCTTGTCTGTTGTGGTATTATTTTTTTATTTGTTTTTTTTCAGTACATTCTGTACAAAAAGGATGCTCCAGACAGTCTGTGAGATGATCAAAGAATGAAGAGGACCAGGAAGAGGTGGAGAGAGGGAAGAGGGGTGCATGAAAGACAAACAAGCAAAGCCCCCTCATTGATCCCTCTATATCAGTGGTAGGCAAGCTGGGAATATCTGCTTCTTAACACAAAAGATCAATGTTCTCTGTCAACCAAACATGAAATAGTGCACAAATGGCTACCAGAGTATCTTGGGATTCAACTTTGCCAACGAGGAATAGGTTGCCTACCCATAAAACAAAAGGGCTGGAGTTGCCCCCTTACCTCCCTCTCCACAAGACTACCACCCATATTTATTAAACAGGGAACACATACCAACTCACTGCCAAAGAGAACATTTATCATTTTAAAATTCATATTCTTTAATGTTCTTGCTATGAAAGAAATTTTGCACAGTTTCTATCGGTATCCATTAAAACAAATGTAACTGCCAGAACATTGAGTTTTAAATGTTGAGAATCTTTTGAGCAATGCGGTGGTCTGCATTAGAAGAGTGCAGCATCATTACAGTGCTGTTTATAATGGCTTGGTAATTAAGAGTGATGCTTGGGCTACGGGGTTCTTAGGGTTCGGAGATTAACCACACTAGCTTAGGGATTACCTGCACTCTAGGTGTTGCGGACTATAACTCATTCTCAGATGAAGCTTGGTTGAGTGTGTTTAAAGTTACAGTCCACAACCTCTTCAGTGTCAATGTGAGTTAGGGAGTAAACTGTTGCGTCTCTTTGCTCACTAATAGGACTGCTTACAGCAAGGGGTAGGATTGTAATGAAGCTGTGCTTTTATAATGTAATTATAGCATCACTACAGTGACACTCTGAGAAGGATTAAGATCCCACAGACACTAAGGCGGCTTGAACCCCACTTCATTCTTCACATAGGAATAAGGCCCCTCTTTCTGACTTCTGGACCCTAGGCGGCTGCCTATGGTCACCTAATGATTAATCCAGCACTGATGATAATCAACATTAATTCTCTATTTCATCAGTAACATTTTTATTATAGAGGAAACATTATAAAAAAGTTTTGGCAACTCTTCCTGTCGAGTTTTTCATAATCTGTAGGCCCCTTTCAGCAGTTTGAAAATTATATATATATATATGGCAGCCTCTTATCTGTGCCCCTGTTCCCATCACTGTTGGATATGAAATTGGACATTGTGCTGTTTTATAGTATATGGCTTTCAGGCCGGTATCTGATACACTTGTAACCCCTTTTGCAGACGGTGGGCTTCAACAGTAGCAAAAAGAGTTAAAGCAATGGTTTAAACACACACACAAAAGATATCACAGTACAGATTTCATGGGTGAGCACTTTTCGTTCTCATGAAAATGCAGCAGATTTTGCTTTCCTTCTCCTGCCTTTTCAAATTGATGCTATAGTTTTATTTACATATATATATTTATATATTAATTTCCCCTAGGATTCATGGCTTTTTTTTTTAAAGGTTTACAGTTAACAATAAACAACGAGAAAGACGATTGGGCGTAAAAAAAAAACAAAAACCAAAAACGGCAAATTAAAACATTTTTTTCCCCCTGAAAAACAAAACAATATAACCCCTAAAAAAAAACAAAAACAACATAATTAAACACAGCACATGAAAGAAAAAATAACATCCACCCCGACCCCCACCCAGCCCCTGGAAAAACAGACAACTATACACAGCCCCAACATTAACTTCCTGTCAAACAGAAAGTGATATTTGAACGCAGTTTGTTGACCTCCCAACGCTCTCACGTATTATAATTCAAAGAAGAGGGTTTGGGATCATTTTCTGAACATAATCGGCTTCAAGTCCCATTACAAATTTAAGAAGTGTCGTACACGAACGATGCAGAAATTCATTCAATAACCTTCCCCATTGTCAAATCAAATAGGTGTCTTGTTTTTTTACAATTGATCAATTCACCTGGAAATACAGTAAGTGTATATATTTAATTTTGGCAATTGGCAAGGCTTATGACAGTAACCTCGTGATTTTAAAACTAGAAGACTATTTTAAAAAGCTTGGGTGTGCAGATATTTGGAGGAGAGGGGAATGGAGGTTAGGCCAAAATGCTTTCATGATAGGATATAAGCTCATATATATATACACGTTTTGGGTTTTTAATGATGAAGTAAAAATAGATGATTGTAAAGAAGATGAGGGCAGATAGCTAATACAACGCATCCATCTATCTTCTACGTCTGCTCATAAAACCTGTACATAACTCCACACACTATGTCGTAAACTCACAAAATGCATCACCGGCATTTTCCGCCCACAACCGCTTTAAGATCACGAATTTTGGCACAAAAGACTCTGTGCGCCACGTAAACCCTGGCTACAATTCTTCTCATTGATTTAATTCTTCTCCGTTACTCGGATTTTTGCATGACTGCAAACAGACTAATAACTGGTCCATATTGCTGGTCTTTAGAACCTCTGCTGTACCCGTGTCCTTTCACTGGAATATGAATTGTCCCTGTAGCGTTTGGGATTGGTTAACTAGTAAAGAGAATGTTATCGCTCTAATTCAGTAACTGGGATTTCATTGTGTGTAGACCATTGTATGTTTAATGTTATTTCAATTAAACACCAAACATGCATACCGCTATTGCAGCCTCTATGGCACTAAAAGTGTTTATTGGCCGCCATTTCACTTCCGGTAGACAAAGTAGTCTACATTTGGAGATTCTATGTAGAAGAAGCAACTTGGTTCATTGGGGAACTTTTAAGCTATTTGTTTTACTGCTTTCTCCTAAATGATGTGCTCTTCTATCAGTAAAGGCTTATCAAGTCTGTCCCTGTACAGTAATCTTCCAGCCTCTCACCTTTCCCATTTGTGTTCTGCTTCCTCCTAACAGACCCATCTACTATCTCCTTCTCATTGCCATTCCTGATTCCCCTCTGGAGCACAGTTCCCTTTCTCCTGCCCCACTGGTTTACAGTGCTTTTTTTACTTCCCCATAGCATCTCAATGCTTTCCCTCATTCCCCTCAGTAGTGCCGTGCCCCCTCTCCTTCCCCTCTGGAGCACAGTGCCCTTTCTCCTTCCCCTCTGGAGTACAGTGCCCTCTCTCCTTCCCCTCTGGAGCACAATGCACTCTCTCCTTCCCCTCTGGAGCGCAGTATTCTTTTCACACTTGGGAGCAGAATGCCCTTCCTCTTTCCCATTTGCAGTGCAGTATCCTTCCTCGTTCCTTTCTTCAGTGAAGTACCTTCCTAGTTCCCCTGTACAGTCTTGCCTGCCTCCTTCCTTTTGTAGATCATTTACCTCCCTATTTACGGGACCTTCTCTAACCTATTTCTATTCTACCGAGCAGTATTCTTCCTTCTTTAGAGCCCAGTACCACTTACTGAGAATTGTATTCCACCCATCCCCATGTAATACCTCACCTGCCTCTTTCCTGCTTACCAAACCTTTCCTTACTCTGTTTCCCTTTCCACAGACCTCTACCTGAGAGAAAATGGAGTGAAGGTATCTGTGTGACCGGTTTTTAAAGGAAGCTATATGAGAAAGCATATTGTGTTTGTAATGCAGTGTGTGCCGTATAAATACTGAGTTAGAGAAAAATGTTCCTTACGGTTCTAGCAAGTCCCAAAAATACAGTATTCTGTAAATGTTATTTCAAAATACATATAGCAAAGGTAGGTTGCAGGAACCGCAATCACTCCCAGCGGCCACAGGTGCTCTGGAACAGGACCAGTAATCCCAATACGATAAGTTAATAAAACAGATTCACAGGCACTCCAATTGTGTACGCCGCAGGCAGATTTATTGTCACGAAATGAGAAGCAAAGTTTCGACCTAACAATAGGCTTGACAAAGACCTATTGTTAGGTCGAAACGTTGCTGCTCATTTTGTGACAATAAATCTGCCTGCGGCGTACACTATTGGAGTGCCTGTGAATCTGTTTTATTGCCATTTCAAAATACATATCTCGGAGGGTCCAACGTCAAAAATGGAACCATCATCAAAAAAATTTCCTTTACACCTGATTAAATATTTCTAACTAACCAACTGTGGGTGAAGTGGACATTTTGTATCATTAAAAATTAAATTTCCACTTCCATGTACAGAACAATAGAGCTAATTAGATCTCACCAGGAAATCCCTCAATCTGATTGATATTTGACAGCAGCAAAAATCAGCAGCTCTCTTTCTCAAATTTATTTTAATATTTTGTTTTAGTATCGGCAGAGGTCTCTGACCAAAGGAAACTTAAAACCGATGCCAATTATGGCTTAACGCGGTAGAAACTCTGTACTGCTGAGGATAGGAATTATAGAAGTGACTCAACTTGGCTGTTTCAGAATTTGTAGTTGTTAATGCTGGATGTTTAATGTGTGTGTTTTTATTTTAACAGGTACCTAAGACGGTCAGTTATCAGATCTGGGAATCTGCTAATTTTGCCTTTAGCAGGGCTGATAATAGAAATTATTTTATTTGATGTTCTATCTAGTGACTAGTTACCCAGATGAGATGGTGACTGGTTTAATAGTTTATAATAGGGGTTGCACCCAAACTTAATAAAAAGCTAGTGGGTTTAACTAGTTCCCAGTACAATCTGTTCTGACTTTGTAGCACTCGTGGTATCTTAACTTGCTCATTTTATGGTAAGATTGACAGTTTCATCTATTTTTACTAGAAGACTTGGAGTATAGATACCCATGCAAGGTATTACAGGCACTGCGGATATAGCACAATGGGTTAATATAACTAGTTCTTAACATACTTTATTAAGTTGCAGCTCTATATATGAACATGAATATGGCCAGTGTAATTGGTTATCTATAGACTCT